TGTGTGCCACCTGGGCAGGTGCACAGGACCCTGTGCTTAGAAGGGCCCACGCTGGGTTTCATGCTCTGCTGCTGTTGTCTTGAAATTTCTCATATTGTATCAACCAAAGAACCCATATTTTCATTTTGCACTGAATCCCACAAATCATGTAGCTGGCCCTGCCTGTGATCCATTTTTATTTTCTATTCTTCAGAATCACCCTTAGACATAAAATTGATTCTTTTCAAGAGGCACCCATGATGTGTGCCAGGCTCTGAACTTCTCACCGCTTGCTGCAGCTGTGACGTGACAGTCCACTTAATTCAGTACAGTGAATTGCTGTATTTTCCCAACTGTACAAGAGAGTTATTCCTTGTAAATCCACCTTGTCACAGGAGACGCATCAGAACAGGTTTTCCATGATGCTGTTGTGTGGCTGGCAAGCCAGACATTCTCTGGGTCCCAGCGTGCACAGTAGGGCAGGTGAAAAGACAGTGGGGTCAGGTGCTAGAGCTGCAGCACGACTTGTTCAAACTGTCGTCTGGATACAGCACCCAAACCACATTACCTCGAATCATGTTTAGAGAACTTGTCTTCTACATAATTTTGGAAGAATCCCAGTTGATATACATTGCTGAAGACAGACTTTAACTTGGTCCTGTTCCCTGGGTGAGTCGTGTTTTAATTGCCAAGTTGTGGTAAAATGCTGTGCTTAATTATGGACTCCAGTATCTAATTTGTCAGTCATTGCCGCTATTTGAAACTCTCTCAATTGTTTTCACCACCCTTCCACATCTTTCCACGGTGTGTGCTTGAGTTACAAAGGCCTTCATCTCCCTGGACACATCTCAGCAGTGCCGTCACTGGGAGTAAAAATCAGGAAATAGAGGCGTAATTAAATGTAAAAACGACTGAGGGGGGGCAATGTATCATCAACTGCTTGCATGCTGAAAATTCCTTATTAAGAAATTTATAAATTATAATCAGTCACAAGCTTAAGAGATCAGTTAAAGTAATCCATTCATATTAACAGTGTATGTATAGTCCTGTTCATGGAAAAGGTGTGGTGGGGAGCAATGGTTATTTGTTGGAAATCTGGGGTTTGAGGGGGGCATCAGTTTCTCTTTTATCCTGGTGTGAGAATACTTCTGGAAAAAATGAGGAACTGATACTGGTCTTGGAGCATCTCTTCCTAAATGTCCATCCCTTGAACTCTTTGTTTACATTGCAATGGAAGTGCTTTGCTGTAAATGAAAAGGTAGTGTTGAGTGTAGTCCTGTGACTATGGACAGACAAACTGGCTGGCTGTTGATCATGACTGTTTCAATCACTACATTCTTTGTACAGTCAAAAGATACCCATGTTTTATTTCTGCAGGGGGAAGTAATTGCCATTTAATATCACTTTAAAAACATCTAGTTATTTCTTGGCTGAACTTATAAAAATATAGGGAAGAGAATCTACTGAAATTAATGCTAAAAGGTTTAGAAATTTCCTTTCTGACAGTGACCAGAATGTTAGGAAAAATTATTTCTTAAATTCCGTAGAGCTGGACAGATTGATCCTTGTCTTCTAAACCTATCTGAGTGTTAACATTCAGATGTTGAGGGCTTGTTAAGACTAAGAGAAAACAGAAATATCTGGATTCATCTCAAAAGAGAAAACTTGTGATTTTGCACCACCTCTTCACTGGCCTCTTAAGGTACTTGAGAGTGGTAGGAAAGAGACTCAAGAGGTCAGCGTGCTGGCACCTCTCTACCAGTTTGGGGTAGGGGTGCTCCTTTTCAATGTGGCAGGACAGCAAGCTGCCCCGCTTCCAGTAACGACCACCCACAGTCCATCTCCAGCAGAAGGGGCCAGCTGTGCATAGCAGGTGGTACCGCCCTCTCCCTGAACTAGGCCTGTTCTCAAATATTTGTGTGGCAGTATCAAATTCAGGAAGTCTGGAGAGAACAGCTAAGTCATCAGCATAAGGACCAATTCTGATCTGTTTTTGCCCAACGTACATCTATCTAGAGCCATACAAGGCTTGGGGTGGCATTCCATCAGTCGATGTGCAGACTCTATGTGTGTGAACAGTCAGGCAACAAAGCCGCTATTGAGTTATATAAATGCAGAAAGGGGATGGGAGTGAATGCTGGCCTTCTGGAAATGCTTTTTTTTTTTTAGTTTGGGATAACTCCAGTAACCAAGTAGAATGTTCTGATACATTTGCCAAATAAAAGAGCTGAGGTTGAGAGTGAGCCTGAGATATTTCAGCTTAATGAACATCTTAGAGGGCAGGGTAAGAAAAGCAAGCTCTAAATACAAATGTAAAAGTTACAGCTTAACTTTTCCTGTGACATTGTGTTATCATTTCCCTATGGAAACATAACACATCCAGCATTCACCATAAATGGGATTCATTAGTATTACTTGTTTACCTTAAGAAAGTTTAAGAACCATCCGGCCCCCAGATGTAGCATTGGTCCCAACTATGTTGATGTTGTACTGTTGTCCTTGTTCTCCATCATTCTGCAACACCACCTCCTCTTTGCAGTAAGAAAATAAAAGCAGTTATAAAATGACGGGTTGAAGTTTCCCTGATTTAAAACCAAACTTTTAAAGCAGAAAGAGTGTAGTAGCTCAGGACATGTGAATTCATGCCATCCTTAATCCTTACCTATTTTTTTCTTTATAACCAACTCTTCTCATTCCACTCCCCACCCCCAGTCTCCTTCCAATGATTTCAGAATATATAGTGAGAAATTTAGGAGGTGTCTTAATGGAATAAAGTAAAGGGAGATCCTTTTTATGGTGTCCAGATAAATGTTTTGATCTTCCTGTCATCAAAACACATTGCCAAATGTAGGGGTGAGCTAGCGTTCCTAAATACTGGTCTTCAGTTTCTGTACTGCTCATAGAGATTCTTTTTCATCCAGCAAACATGTATTGAGCAATCAGACTTGTAAAGATAAATGCTCAGTTCTGCTTCTTAAGGGCAGAATCTAGTTAGGGAGAGAGACACACATAAAACTCATCATCTTTTAGGATGTGCTAAAATGGTGCAAAAAACAGACTATTGTAGAATGCAGGAAGGTGCTGATCGATGAATTCAGAAATAAGATGTTAGAATTAAGCCTTGGAGAGAAAGAATTTTTTGTGAGTTAAAAGGGGGAAGGGGTTCCAAACAGAGAGGTAAGATGAGCAGAGATAGGAATGCTAATGACAGTCCTAAGAACCAGGACACACCAGGTGTGAACAGAATGTGAATGTGCGGGAAAAGGGCATGGAGGAGAGAATGAGGTTGGGTAAGATGGTGCAATGCCTGGAAGAGGGTACCAGGGATTGGTCCTTGATCCTGTAAGCAAAGGGAAGCTATCTAGAGCTTGTCAGCATTCAGATGAGTTGGAAATGGGCTGAGGGGCGTTGGAGCTTCTGGGGTGGACAGATCCGGGGAGTCAGAAGAGCAGTTAGAGCAATGTTGTTCTGATCCAGGCTGGAGATGGGGGATCCAGGGGGCCATCAGCAGGTTGGAGACTACTTACTTTTTTGTCTTTGTGTTTTCAAGACCAGCACCCATTGTACTCAACAAATAGTTGAATTTAATTAGACCCATTGACTTTAGAGGATGAAAAAAGGGGAGGGGAAAAAAGGACTTCAAGATGTTTACCTTGAGAAACAAATATAGGAGGGCCAGGATTGGGGATGGGGGAAGGGAAAAACCCATTCATGTTGAAGGGGTTTGATTTGAATTTCTGGTGAGGGAGCTCACAGAGGTGTCTAGAAGACAGCTGGAGAAGGCAGGATGTCACCAGGGAGGGAGAAGTGGCTCTCAAGACAGCTCTGCCTCTTGGGCTTGGGGCTCATACCTTTTAGTGTCTATTCTTATTCTTTTCCCATTAGTAAAATTTCTCACTGTGATTTTGTTACCCCTCCTGTGCCTGAGACCCCATCCTGCCCTGCTATAGAACATACCCTGGTAGGAAAATGCCATAGTTCAACAGGTCAGGTTCTAGAAGGTTCTGTGCAAAATCATCTGACCATGCAGACCCACCGCAGACTCTCTACTTAAGAAAAACCAGTCATCTCTAAGTGACCACTGTAGCTTGGCATTGAGTGTGGTGGACTTAGAATCAAGAGACCTGGCTTATTGAATGAATGACTTCAGTTGCATCCCTCAACTCCAAAGTGAACAAGGCACACCCCGCTCCAAGAGTCAGATGACGTGTGTGAGCATCCACTTCTAAAATGAAAGCTCACAGCTAGTAAAGTCCAGTTTCCCCTTCATCACACAGCTGTCAGCATCATTTACAAGTGTCCCAGCAGCTGCCCCTGGCCTGCTCGAGTAGTGGAGGTTGAGGAGGGAAAGTCTACTCCCTGACTATAGGCTGCAGTGTCTGTGCTGAGCGCAGTCAGCAGGCAAAGGATCCTTGACCTTAGAAGTAGATGTATTAGGCTGCCACACCCTTACTCTGATAGGCTATAAATTCAGTAATTCCTATTAAACTCAATTGCAGTCTAGGCATTTTTTCATAGAGGTTTCTGTATCAAACAAATTTGCAAAAATTGTAAAATCTGAACATTCATTTCAGACTTTAGTAATAAAATTGGAAAACAAAGAAGCTTGCAAAGACGGTGACAATCTCATTGTGGTCATGCAGCCTAAGAACTGATGTGAGAAACTGGAATTAATCGCTGTTTGATGCCACTGGGGTTCTATTATCCTCCACACGGCCATACTAGGGCGCTGCATAAGCAGATCAGCCCACTGAATTCTGGCAGTTTTTGGAAACATACATTTTTTCATCCCTTTTATTTTTGACACCTCCTACCCCCACCCCCTTTAAGGCAGTTTTCCAGCTGTTCCCTGAGGGAACGGTTTAGGGGGAGTTTCTTCTGTAGGCTTCCAGCTGGCTTCATTTTCACTATCTCCATGAAGTCGCTGCCTTTGTCAAATTTATATGCTGTGATCCATCATGCATTGCCTTGGGATTCTCCCTCTGAATTGTTGACTTAATATTTTTGGTTTGCACATGCAGGCTGTCTCCTGGTTCGGACATCTATGTGACGGTCTCATCCATAGCGTTAGCAAGATCCCAGCAGTGCCGTAACTCCCCGAGCAACCTGTCTTCATCCAGCGAGACTGGCTCGGGTGGAGGCACTTACAGGCAGAAATCCATGCCCGAAGGGTAGGTATGCCATCGGCCCTGCTGTGCACGGTTTACCATCTTTCCTCTGAAATGCAGACATACAAAATGATTTCCAATCAGCTCACTTTGAGCAACTTAGAAAAACCATAAGAGAAAATGTGGTTGGTTGTCCAGATAGAAAAGTGTCTTCATAACTGGTCAAAAGTGTTTTAGGAAGTTTATCATCTTCAACTCTAAGGGACTCAGTGGCAGAGAAATCAGATAACATTTGTCTTTATGTTCTGTGCTGTCTTGTTATCATAGTGCAGGTTTTCTCACTTATTTTCCTCCCGCGTGAACTGCTGGCCCTGACTGGAGTCAGTATTGCTGTTAAAGGAGAGAAAATGATCATCATATCCAATGCTTAAAATTATTTTTCTCACACACTAGAAGTCTTCTGTGATTTCATCCCATGGGTGTTTTTTTTATTTTTTCTTTTCTTTTTTTTTTAAAAAAAAAAAAAAAAAACACTAAACACCCAAAAGTAACTATTTGTGTCTGACAGGACTTACAAACTAAAAAGCTAAATGCGCAGGATTTTAGAGGCTGCTAAAGGGAGGGGGGAGGGCTGGTGGCAGGACTGAAATGTCTGAAGCTGGAAGTAATTGGCAGCCAAGCATTACAGGGCGCCCACCAGCCAGCCCTGCCCAGCGGAAGGGGAAGAAAACCATCCCCACTTCCTTCTGGGAGAGCTCGCTGGGGAACTTGAAGAAGAAACCTATTGAAAATCAAATCTGAGATGTTTAAAAAGCTGATGTTTCTATTCTGAGTTTTCCGCAAATGTATTTTTAATAAATACACACAGTCTGTTTACTTTCTTGAGATTTTTTACCACATTACAGAATAAGGATGCTTACTAAGAATACCTTCATAATGGATAGTTTCTCAGTCCTACAGTATTTTGTTGGCTTTCACAGCTATTATGATTTTTGTTGTTGCTAAATATTTATGTTAGCAGAAAGTAGGTAGGTAATAAGATCACTATAAAAATATGCTACCTTCCCACCACGGTTCTCCAGGATTCCCTTGGTAGCATATCTAAAGTTCATATTTCTTATTTTAATTACTTCACTGACAATGAGAAAAAATTTTTAGCTCTTCTTCATGAGTCCCTGAAAAAGGTTCTATAAGTATTATTATTAAACCATACCACAAGCCCCCTAGTTATTTCTTACTTTAATTAGTAAATTGAAAATGGTCTGGTTTGACTTCAAAAGTAAGAATTCAACTTCAGTGTTAGTGCAGCGATAAAATATAAATGAGCTTACCACAACAGAAAAAAAAAGGATTGTTTTCTTCTGACTATTTTAGACTTCAAATGTATGCCAAAAATTTAACTTGAAACATTAGTGTTTTGGTGAATATGAACATCAGAAATGTGGTTTCGATGCCCATGCTGCATAATAGCTTTTTAAATGAGGTTGCAGTTACTCCACGTGATGTTTAACACGAACCCTAATGATGTTAAGGGTTTTCCCCTTTGTGCCGCTACCCAGTAATTAGTCATACTGTGTAATGTCTTCTTTACCTGGGGTGACCTTTCTTATGACCCATAGTCTTTCACTGGGTCCCAAATAACTTGTGCTTGCCTGACAGTGAAGCAGGAGTATGCGGAGTCTGCTGCATAATCACTAATGTTAAGCTGGACAAAGCCCAGGAGTACATCCTAACAGTGGGTCAGTGCACGATGATTGTCCACACGTGAAACCTGCCCCTCGCTTGCCCTCCCTCCGCCTGGGTAGCCCATTGGTAGACCATTTTCAATTTACTAATTAAAGCAAGAAATAATTAGGGGGCTTGTGGTGTGGTTTAATAATAATACTTATAGAACCTTTTTCAGGGACTCATGAACAAGAGCTAAAAATTTGTTTCTCATTGTCAGTGAAGTAATTAAAATAAGAAATGTGAACTTTAGATATGCTACCAAGGGAATCCTGTTTTGTTATTTTTTTCTTTACATAACTATTCTGAATATTTTTAGGAAAGAATTTATTCCCTTAGAATTACTTTTCCTTGCACAAAGAAATGGGAAGAGTTAAAAGCAGATAATTCAGCAAGGCAGTCAGAAGGTCTCTTTCTCTGCCTTTTTCCCAAAGAAAATCATTGCATCTAAATGTACCCTTTTCCCTTATGAGTAAACTCTGGGTGTCTGCATGTTTCAAAGGGTGGCTGCCCACTTCCTAGGATGAGGATGTTGAGTCCATCCAAGTCAGTTGAGAAATGAAAATTTAGTGAGGAGGTTAATAATACCTGTTCTATGTGAGCGGGGCAGGGAAAGGCACCTGCACAAGTTTAGGATGAAAATGAGGTCGTTTAAAAGTACCCCTGTTTAGATACCTAGAGGTGGAAGGGCTCAGCCATGTGGTATTTTTACTTGTTTTCCATAGTGGCTCCACCAGTTTCCATTTCTACCACCATGTGCTTGCGCTCCTTTAATTCCGTGTCCTGCTCTGTGCTCTTTTCTTAGCTCTTTGCTCATGGCCATTCTAACAAGTGTGAGGTGGTATGTCGTGGCTTTGATTTGCATTTCCCTGATACTGTGTGATTATGAGCATTTTTTTCATGTCCTGTGGCCGCCTGTCTGTCTGTCTTTGGAGAAATGTCTCTTCAGATCTTCTGCCCATTTTTTTGATTGGTTTATATGTTTTTCTGTTGTCATTGAGTTGTGGGGAATTCTCCCAGGCATAGGTTGCCTTTGCATTTGTTGTGGTGGTTTCTAGTGTGATGTAGTCATTTATCAAGGTGTGAAACTGTCCTCCTGAAATACATCATTTCCAATGGTATCTCAACAAAAATAAATATTTAAAAAATGTTTCAACAAAATTTAAAAAAAAAAAAAAAAAAAAACACTGAAAGGCACAGGGTCTACCACCGTGGAGATTTATTTCTGGACCACACACTTGGGCTTGTCCACAGGGAGGGAGGCTGGGTAAGCGAGGAACTTGCAGCCCATGGTGTGTGAGAAACTTCTCTGAGGATGTGTACCCTGAAAGTGAGAGTTGTGACCACCTTAGCTCTCCCAGCACTCTTAGATGAGGGATTAAACTGTCCATGAGGGCAACTGAGACCAATAAATGAAAGTTACAGAGAAAACCTCTTTCTGGCCCATTATGAGGAAGATAATTGAAAGCTGTTGCCCCTCTAGGCAGGACTGAGGGGTTCATGAGTTAGAGCTCCTGGTCACTGCGTTTCATGTATCAGCCAGATGATTGCTTCGAAACTCCTTTAGGTCTGAACTGTGACTGCAAAACTATTAGGTACTCCATGAAACAAAACCCAACTAAGCCCTTCCAAGAGTAGCACCATGTAAAATCAGAACAGGTTTTGTCTGAGCTTCTCAAGGATAGTAGGATCTTTGCATCCCTAACACCCAGCATACAAGTGTGAGAAGAAAATGAAACTGCAAGACCATTGCATGAAATATTTTTCAAGGCAGAATTTAATTTCTTGGTTAACACCAAACAGCAAGAAAAAAAAATTTAGCTTAAAATTCAGAAGTTTAAGATGTTATCTTTTGTTTTGACTGCTACCAAAAATTAGAAGCAAAATTAGAATCCATTTCTAGTCTTTATATTTCTGCCTTTTTAAAAAATGGTGTTAATTCATTGTAAATCTAGAACAGAATTAAAGGGCTATTTGCTTTTCTACACTAACCAATGACCCTACTGTTTAAGGAGATGAAAAAGTTCATAGTGAATCTTTTTTTTTTAAATAAGGAATTTCACTGAAGTGTTCATAAATCAAGGTTTGTGTTTTTATAATGGAAGTAGTTTTTTGAGTGAGGTTTATGATTGTGTTTGTAAATGACTGTCATTTGTGGCACTTGTGGAAAAAAACTAGGGAGATGCTATAGTGGGAGTTTTATTAAAATATTTGATAACCTTCTCTTCTTTGCCAGTGCTTTTATGTAGATTTTTCTTCCTGGATCCATACAGTAGAGTTGACAGTTTACAGATTAGAGAAATGGAGGTGAACCGGAGTGACTTTGGGGGGAGCTGGAACTTGGCTGCAGATGGTCTTCTTAATTTCCTACTCTTTCCAATATGCCACTTGCTGTCCCTCCCTGTGTGTTTATCTCTCTGGGGAGAATAAGAGAGAGAGCACATGCATCAATTAAGTCAGGTCCTGTTAGTCTTTTATTGTATAGGCTACTTACAAGTTCATTAGTAACCACATACAGATTTGTAAAGTTCTGCATAAATGTTTGAATTTTATAACTCTCTTTTTCTTTTTTTAATGGGCTCGATCAGTATTTACTTTGTTGATATTGCTAGTCAAGGCATGTACTTTAAGTATATATTATGTTGTTATTCTACACAGGGAAAACAACTCTGGGCTCATTAAACAGCTAAATGTTCTTTCCAGAAATGGGCTTTTACCTTCAATGTATACCAGTTTACCTACTTCCAAATTGCCCTTCCCAAAGGCAATTTAAAATTGATACATTTTGAAAATGGTCTCTGTGTCATGTAAATGGATAGCAATCTTTGTCTCTTAGACCTTACAGTAACTGCTCAGAAAATATTTGTTCCGAGAATGAATGACATGGTGATTTAGCAAATTACCAACCTAAGAAAACAACCCCCTGAAATGTGCCCATTGAAAGGTATACTTGGAACATAGAGATGGTGAGATGTTTCCTTTGACTTTGAATGAATCTGATGGCTCCTGCCCTTGGCTACAGTCGATGTATTTAGCACACATGCCTTTCTGAACCGAGCAGTGTATGCAGACCACAGTCTGCACAGTTCTGCACGCATGTACGAGGATGCATGCACAAGTACACACGTGTAAGCAGAGCTAGCAGTACCTGTTGTGAGAGTCTAGTTTATCACACCAAGGACTATCTTCCCCCATGGGTGAGGACCCTGATGTCATCTTCGCTTTGTTTCGGGAAATTGCCACAGGTTTGGAGTAAGCCGCAGATCCCCAGCCTCCATCGACAGGCAGAACACCCAGTCAGATATTGGTGGCAGCGGGAAGTCCACACCCAGCTGGCAGAGAAGTGAGGATAGCATTGCCGACCAGATGGGTAAGTCACTCATTTCTGCGAAAAGCAAGGTGATGTTACATCAAGGTGATTTTGGCCACCTCTTGATGATGTCATCCAAGCATTCTGATGAAATATAACCCTGGTTAATAAACATGTATTAGAATTGAGGCGTGGTAGATTACAATATGTGTAAAGCAACAAAAAACCCGAGGGAAAAGTCAGAGAATGCAAAGTGACCTCAAATTTAAAAATAGAAAAGGCATCAACATTATTTTCAGCCCTGAGATTAAATGCACAAGTCCCAGGTATCTCTCTTCTCCCTTGTTTGTTTAGCCTAGAATACGTATTTGGAGAGATTTTGTTGGTTTTCTTAATGTTACATTTTAAAAACAAAAAACTGTGTGCAGGTTGGGAAAGAGATGTAGTTGTTGTTCAGGCACAGATGTAACTTGGTTAGGACTCTTTCTCAGTGCATTTCCCCCCACACTGCTATTACGCTGTCAGCTAAGGAAATGTCTTAGCTGTCTAAAACAGCTGGATGGAGAAGATGTACCTTGGTGAGCTTCATTTGGATTTCTGATACTTAGCCTTTTCTGCCTCTGCATGCAGTTATTCTACAGTAACTCCAGATCACTCATTGATATGCTAAAACGTTAGGCTGCACCATGATTATTCCAATACAGTAGTATCGGGGACTTAGTAGCAACACATAGATAGAGCCAGAACTTGAATCTAGAGTGTTAGGTATTTCAGTGCCTTCATTTTATCTCTAGTAGCATTACCATCCATGCGAGATAAAAAGAAGTAAATCTCAGGACTGAGAAAGATGAACTTTCAAGGCAAAGACCCATCTTTTGGATCTTCTCTACAAGTGCACCTTTTGTTCTGTTTTAATGACTGTGACCCTGGGAACGTACAAGTGGAGATGTGTCAGGCCAAGGCCTGAGTTGAAGAAGAAAAATGTAATTCTTAGGTTCTGAAGATATGCTTTGTTCCAGTAACTTCAGTGAGATGTGCCTTGTTGTTAAAGCCATCTGTCATTCCCCACTCTCCTCCCACCCAACACAGAAAACCTGAGCATATTCAGATCTGCTGTTCTGCTCTTGACAGAATGTTTTTAATCCCATATGTTTTGATACTGTTGGGATGGTAACGACACATGTGTAAAGGATCCCTTCTTCAGCATGACTTCACCAGCTTTCTTTGGCTCCAAGTGCTGGTTTTGAACAAAGCCACCAGCAAGTCTTTTGTGTGGTGTGCAGTGTCACACTTCCCACTCATGTGAAGTCCTGCGGGGAATGAAAAGGTATCTTGGGACTGGAAAGGGTAATTACAAGGTTCTTCCTAGATCCCTATTCATTCTCTCATATGAAACTCCCTCTGCTCATTTTCCCTTGCACCCACTTTAGTCACTCTCCACTGCAAATAGGTAGAACTGAAATTCATATCGATGGGCCTTTTTGTACACATTTGTTCATCCCATCATTTTTATTATTGAGATAACCCCTTGAGGCTGCTAGAGAAACCTTTTCACCAAGTGGTAACCTTTCTCCATCCAAAATCTAAGGCTTCAAATAAAATATTAAGATAAATATTTATAATTTTTTGATTTTATGGCATTCCAGGAGAATAAATTTTTCTAGCTAGTACATCAGAAAAAATCTGGGTCTTAGTTGGTATAAACCATGCTAGGAAGAAAGCGACAACAAAAAATTGTTACATTTCCAGCACTCAGTACACTCCATTTGTAAGAACAAAGTTGTCTGGCAATATGCAGGCCGATTGATAATATGGAGGAGACTCCTGTTAGCTATACCCACCTGTCTTTGTACATCAGCGTGTTATAAACTGGAAAACCCCATTGAAGGCAAGGAATTTAACTTAATTGACTCATTCATCTCAGTGGATGTTGTTTTCTGCCTTTCTGCTTCTGGAAATGGTTGAGAGTCAGAGTATGTTGCTCAGCCTTTGTGTGTCGGGAATGGTTTTGCAGAAGTCCAGAACTGCTGCTGTTAGCTATAGGCATGTTAAAAGGTTAAATCACTTACCTTTCACCTTTGGAACCCCATCGTGAACAGCAGCTTGGAGTCCAAAAGGAAGCAATTGTTTTAAGTAAACTAGTTGCTGTGTGTCTTTTCTGTTGTGCTTAGCTTACAGTTATAGAGGACCTCAGGATTTCAATTCTTTTGTCCTCGAGCAGCATGAATATACAGGTAAAATATTTCCAAAGTGTCATGGTAAGTAACACGTGATTGCATCCATGCCTGTCTAGGTAATGTAGACCAAGCCAGGTTAGCCACACTTTGCAATGAATGACTATCATAAATTTAATCCATGTACACTAAACTTTCCCCCAAAACCAAAAAGTTGATTCCTAACTTTGCTGCGTTGTTCATGGCCTTTGGTTTGGTGGTACTTGGCTATGCTAATGTGTATGACATGACACACTGTCACCAGCTGCAAGCTTTATCCATCAGCCACTTAGTTTCTGACATGCTGTCTATTGTGTAAACTCTCAACAAGCTTTTTGCTGAAATTCAGAGTTTGCTGGTCAGTGAACTGACAGATGCAATGCAAGCCGTCTTCATTTGTCAACTTGTGCTTTTCCCTGTTTAGTGCTTGCCCTATAATGTCCTGTGCTGTATTCCAGAGCCAACGTGCCATCTCCCCGCAGTATCAAAGGTACTGCCAGCTTTCCGAGAGAGCCCCAGTGGGAGATTAATGCGGCAGGATCCAGTGGTTCATTTGTCACCAAACAAACAAGGACATGTAAGTTAACTGCATAATACTAAAAACAATAGATTGCTAGCACTGTGCCTTCCGTACAGTGTGAAAATGGTACAAGTCTGCCACGCTCTTTCTTCCACACTGTCAGAGAGAAAGTCAGCCTGGCAGAAGTGGGTATGTGTTGCCGTGGGCCTGGAATTTCTGCTGCAATGGCCCTAAGGTTGTGTTGACATAAATTGTAGTTCTACATTGGTGTGCACCCGCCACCCAGCAGGTCTGGATGGAAGACGGATCCAGTCACAAACAATCCTAAAATGTTAGAAATAGAAATGTGCTAGCAGTGAATTTTATTTGCTTATTCAATTGCAAGCATAAGCATCAGTCAAGGAAACAGGCAGCTTCATGATCTCACCCCCTAACTGCTTCTCTTATCTTCCATCACTGCTCACATTATTGTCCTTTTCCCATAATAGTTCCTGATCACGTAAAGGTAGAATTGAGATAAAGATTATCATTCTCCCTCCACCCCACCCTCTTAATATCCTTGTCTGTTCACTGGACTGTGTATTTATGTATGTGTCATCATATAGGATGAGGAAATACTGTAGCTTATATGAGGCTCAGAGAACTTCCAGCGAGGAGGCTGTCATACATTTTGCTCTGAAGAAATGAACATTGAAGCTGGAAACAAGAGAACCCTGTGTGTGTGTGTGTGTGAGCGAGCTGCCCGCTCTCCGCCGTGGGGAGGGATGGGCTGAGGAAGAGTGGTGCACTCTTTAACACAGTGCTGCTGTGTGTAAACGAGGATGCCCCAGACCAGTTGTTGGCTTCCCCTCCCTCATTAGTAATTTTTATATTGATTACATGGTAAAATAATATTTCAAATAGATTAGATTTGTTTGACAAAATATGTTCTTAAAATTAAATTCACCTCCTTTTTACTTTTATAGTCTGGCTACTAGAAAATTTTAAATTACACGTGTGGCTCATATTATGTATCTCCAGAAGCCTGTCACGTGCTTTACACTTTCCGCTCCTCTGAGTTTGGACTGGCCACGTAGAAAGTGCCCAGTCGCCATACACGGCTAGGGGCCGCCAAGCTCCGCAGCACAGGACAGCACTCAACAAGTTCTGCCCTACAGATAGTGAAAATGAGCCAAGCCTTGAACACAAACATTGTTACTGAGGAAAACGGAGTTGTGCCAGCAAAGTAACCAGGGTTGATTCCTTTTTAGGGGGAAGAGATCTGTCACTCTGAGGTAAAATAGGGGTGTATTCCCCTCCCCCTTGCCTCAGCCGGTCAAGAGGGCATTCATTCCTCAACCAAAGTACACACGATTCTTGCCACTTTCCTCTTAATCTCCACTAAGTATCTGGAATTCCTGCCTCCCTCTAACTTAATATTCTCCTTCATTCAGGTGTCTTTTGAAGTCATACTTCTTTGGTAAGCTACATAACAGTCTTTCTCAGCAGCTAAGTTACTATGTAGAAAGGATTTTCTAATTTAGCTACAGTCCACATATCAGCTATTTTCAGTTTCCTAACATGCACCCATTTAAAGTGTACAATTTCATGATCTCTAGTATCTTCACAAAGTTGTGCAGCCAGCACTGTGATCTGACTCTGGGATATTTTCAACAGCCCAAAAGAAGTTCTATATCCTTAGGCAGTCACCCTTACTCTTCCCACCCCCTCCAAGCTCTGGACACACACTAATTTACTTTCTGTCTTTATGGATTTTCCTGTTCTGAACACTTCATATGAACAGAAACATGCTGTAGATGGCCTTTGTGTTTGGTTTCTTTTAGTTAGCATAATGTGTTCAAAGTTCTTCCATGTTGTAGCATGTATCAGTACTTCATTTCTTTTTGTGACCGAATCATATTCCATTTTAGGGACTTAACCAAATTTTTTATCTATTTACCAGTTGATGGACAATTTGGCTTGTTTCTACCTTTTTGGCCATTATAAATTATGGTGCTATAAACATTCATGTAGAAGTTTTTGTGTGAACATGTTTTCATTCTCTTGAAAGTGTGGACTTGTAACTGTTTTCTCACAGCGGCTGGCCCAGTTTACAGTCCCATCACCAGTGCCACCCACCATTATCGTCTGCCTTTTGATTAAAGTTGTCTTAGTGGGTGTGAAGTGTTTCTCATTGTGGTTTTGATTTGCATTTCCCTAGTGAGTAATGATGTTGAACATTTCTCATGTGCTCATTGGCCATTTGTCCATCTTTTTTGAAAGATATTTCAGATCCTTTGCCCATTTTTTTTTCAATTTTAATTTTTTTTAAGATTTATTTATTCATGCATACAAGAACGGGGGTACAGGCCAGATGTGCAAGAGGGTGAGAGGACTCACCAGAGACAGAGAGGGATCAGAACAGGCAGACTGATGAAATACACTGCTGAGGGGAACAGTGGGAGAGACAGGAGAGGTCTGCTGCGCCATGTGGGTATCTCGCCGGCCGGGCTCAAACCCGCGCTGCAGAGACTGCCGATAGCTTCATAGCGCTGTGCTCAACCACCTGCGCCACCAGGGAGGCCTCCTTTGCCCATTTTTAAATTGTGTTTTTTGTGTTGATGAAGTCCAGTGTATTTATTTATTTTTATTTTTTATGCTTTTTGGTGTCATTGCTAAGAAATAACTGCACAACCCAACGTCATAAAGCAATATACCTATGCTTTCCCGTAAGAGCTTTGTAATATTTTAGCTCTTACATCGAGGTCTCTATTTTTCTATTCGGTAGGAATCCAACTTCATTATTTTTTGCATGTGGCTATCCAGTTGTCCCAGCACCATTTTTGGAAGATACTATATCTCTCCTCCCCCCCCCCCCCACTGAATTGTCTTGGCACCTCTTATATAAATTTTACCTCTAAGCACTCCTTGGAAAGCTGTCTCCTAAACAGATGCTAACTGGCGAAGGAAAGGTTGCTCTCTGTAGGAGCAAGTCTTCCATTCAGCCTCTTTTTACTCCGAGCAGTCAGACTTGTAGAGTCAAGCAGGTTTTCTGATTGTGATTATAAGCCCTTTGGAAGTCAAATAATGAAAAATGGATTCTAAGAAATATAGTTTCCAGGTCTCTGTACAGACACTTCTGGATGGGTTTTTCTAGGTATCTCTTGTCTTTGATTTGTCATCATCATTGACATTTTTGTGCCTCAGGAGCCCATAGCTAGACACGTCACGAGTCATTCCACCATGGTTCTTCCCAGTGTTCAAACAGCGGCACCTGCACTGAAGTCCATTTTGCTTCCCTTCCTTGCAGTCTGATAGCCACTACTCCAGCCACTCCAGCAGCAATACCCTCTCCAGCAATGCTTCGAGCGCCCACAGTGACGAGAAGTGGTACGATGGGGACCGCACCGAATCCGAACTCAACAGCTACAACTACCTGCAAGGCACGTCTGCCGACAGCGGCATCGACACCACCTCCTACGGCCCCAGCCATGGCAGCACGGTCTCCCTGGGGGCTGCCACGTCATCCCCTCGCTCAGGGCCGGGCAAGGAGAAAGTGGCACCCCTGTGGCATAGCTCCAGTGAAGTGATCTCCATGGCAGATCGAACTTTAGAGCCAGAGAGCCACGGCATGGACCGGAAGGCAGAGTCTTCCCTGAGCTTGGATATCCACAGCAAGAGCCCGGTAGGCTCCAACCCTCTGACGAGGGAGAACAGCACTTTCAGTATAAATGACGCTGCTTCCCACACAAGGTAACTGCCCTGCCTGGGCTTCTCCCATCCCCAGCCCAGTCCCCAGTTGAGTTTCCTGCCTCATCCCACTTTATTCAAGAATGGATAAGAAAAGGGGGGTTTTTATGCAGTGACAGTTATTTGTATATATTTAATGCCTTTTATTTGTAACAAAAATACCTCATTACTATAATCCTGATGCATCATTATTTAAACTGTGAGAAAAATTTTCAGATTCGTTCTTTATAGTTGTATTTGATTTTATAAAATTTTCCTAACTACAGATCAGAATTAGGGAAGAGTTTTGTGACTTCCACTTTCAGCTACTGATAGAGTTCTAGAAGGAGACAGTCTTTTGAAGATACTTTGGCCTTATTTTTAAGAAAGGATTTTTTTCTCAAGCTGGTATGCCATTATTTATGATGCTGAACACATCCTTTACACGGCCTCTCTGCCAGAGAACATCACTTACCCAGTATTTGCATGGTAATTTTTTACAGTAATTGCCTCCTGACAGTGATATGTTGATGGCAGGGAGCTGGTGGTGCCCAACAGAAAAGTGTAGCTAAAATTAGATGAGCTATCTACCTTTCAGTACTGAAAAGTGCATATTCCCCTGTATCCTTGAAGAGCATGCTCATAGACCATACTATTTTCATATCTGCTTCTGGATTTGAGCCTAAAATCCAAAGTAGCATTAGGTTCTTCCTTTTAGGGAGGAAGCATCTTATCCATATTTTTCTGGATCTGTTGATCTCTGTGTGGTTTCTTTTACCTTTGATGATTTTCAGTCACTGTACAGCTGATTTGACAGCAATCTAACCTTGCTGTTTTCTGGGGGTGTCTCCTTATTATGCCCTACAGGGAAATAGCAGAGAAACTAAATGCAGTTTTACTTTTCAAGTGCGAATCCAGGTACATAATCTATCTGTGAACCCCAGATGATCTTAATGAGAGAGGGCATCACCTATTAATTTGAATTTGTTTAAACTGATCAGTTAAATATTCATTTCTCTCATTGTTTCTGTTTTACTTCCCATCTTGAGCAATTCCAGCTTGACCTTACTGTAGGAAGCATCTCACGACTTTTGTTTCTATTTTCCACTGCTATGTTGCAGTAACAAAAAATGACTGTAGTAGGGCTGAACTACATCGCCACCAAGCCAGAAGGCAGCTGGAAAGTCGTCTCAGTGCTCTTAGATACCAGGCACCCAGCTCACCTCCCACAATTCTGAAGATGGAATGTTTGATTCAAGTGTATGACGGAACTGTTTGGAAAAGTAGAATAGAAAGCTGGGCATTAGGTCCCATAATATTCTGTAGACCTAGAACCAGATGGCAGAGTTGTGACACTTCCCGCTGGCTTTGATGCCTCTCACCATCTCTACATCAACTAACCATCTCCTGTGCATCGACTTAGAACGCTTTTTGGTTCAGTATAATTTCTCTATGGTTTCTAGATTTGGTGTGACTCCTCTATCTCTTTGATTCTCAGTTATTCTATTTGAAAGGAGGATCCCCCCCCCCTTTTTTTTAAAGACTGTTTCACCTGGGTCTGTATTTCTGGTCTACCTTGATGGCAGGAGAAAGTCAGTTATAGAAGTCTTGTCTAGAGTGGCACCACCAGGCAGCATAAAGAAAAGGGCTGGGCATCTGAAGTCAAAGTACAAAATGTGGGCTTTGCCATCTAACGAATCTGACAGATCCCAGGGAACTATTATGTCCCCCTTGAAAAATAGGCACCTGGGCATGCATTATCTGAGTGTGCTGACTGGGGCTGCCTGAAGGCCTCAGGATTATCCCACATGTTCCATTTCACCCTACCCATGCTGAAATCATTTAAATCGTCATTTAGAAAGAACTCTTCTATTGAAAGTCAAACTTACTGGAGAAGAATGTGGCCTTTCAGGGAGGGTGGTAAGGCTTGCCACCCGCTGATAGGTTGAGTCACATTATTTTCTAGACTGGTAAGCGGGATGCTTTGTGACTTCAGTTTGTTGATCTTGGCAGAATGAGCTGGATAATCAGGGCTTTAGCAGCCTGCCTTTTCTGGAGGGAAAGCGGGACTTAGCCACCAAATGCACAATTGCTAGAGAAACTGAAATCGCTGCAAATTAGAGTGTTTGTGTCCTCAAAAGACAGGAACAGCAATTAATGTGGAAATCTCTTGACAGTGCATAAAAGAGCTTGTACCTGGGACTTGGTGACAAAATCTAAATTACAGTGATTAAGTGCCACTGCATATTTCTGGCTGGGCTGTGTTCCTACCCTTCTGTCCCCCAGTCTCCCTATTGATGATTGTGCAGGTTTTTTGTGGCACCCCCTGAGAACTGCACTAATGTAGGTTGGTAATTACATAGGGTTGTTATATTCGAATATCATTAAGAGAAGCCATATACACTGATAACTTTCTACAATTAAAAAGCCTATTAATTGTTCTAAGGTATTGCTCCCTAGAATATATGTGTATTTGCTGTGAAGCTTGGAAAGTTAGGGAGACGTTTTCATTTTATTTTTTACAATAATTTTTGTAATGACAGTTTTATTTTCTGATCTTAAAATGAAGAGAGTTATAATTTTAATGAAGAGAGTTATAATTTTAATATACACTTACTAGCTGTATGCACTTTTTCCTCAGCTTTCTGACTTGGGCATTAGGCAGTACCAGTTTTCGTGGTGACCAGAGGCCTTGTTATGTAGCATGCAGAACTCTGGTCCTGCCAACATCACTGATGCCAGAACAGGATTTGAGAGCACATACGACAAAGCTGAACAATCCCTCTGCTGCTCGCACATGCATGTCTCTTCTGTAATGCCCAGACCTGCTTGAGGGTCTGGACTTGGTGCCCACCCTTGTGAGCCAGCGGTTGTGCTGCTTCCTCTCACTCCCTGCCCATCGTGCTCAGAGCCCTGGAGCCCGTTAGTATCCATTTGTGTGATCACTGGATCAATCTAAGCACCTTTGCTTGGTGTGTGCCATCCCACCTGTAATAGGCAGATGCTCACTGCACCCACATAGTGGACAGATGCTCTGCATATTTTGATAAACAAAAAGGAATAGTATCTCCCTTAATGTTTCCACTTTTTGCACAGTGACTGAGGCCTCCGCTAACAAACCATTTTGAAAATAACATAAACCTCAATTCCTTACTCTTCTAGGAAACCACTACTGCATTTCAGAGTCTATGATATAGACATGTCAATCTCTGCGCAGAGCTGAGTGTATTTATGTACAGCTCTGCCTATGAGTGTATAGAAGGTGCTGGTACAGCATAAATTTTAGGGATCATTACTATATAAGATTTTTTTTTTAAACCTGCAAAATATAACGGAGGGATTTTGTAACAGCTTATATGCAAAAATGCATATCTGAGCATAAGGTGGTCAGTGTCTGACATTCATTAAAGGGGCTGATTAAAGGCCAGGAAATATGCCTGCACAGTTGTCTAGTTTGATTTCATGAATGTGCTTTTTCTGCTGACCTATAAGTTAACTATTCATGCCAGGAAATCTTAAGTTTCTTGAGAGTAAAGGTAAAGAAAGACTTCTTATGTTTAGTGTGCACCGGACAGTAAGGCCATGCCGGGAGCTATCGCAGAATAGCCTGCCTCTATCTGTGTGCCTATGAGCCCGCACTGACTGTTTCAGTGTTCTCTACACTCTGGCATCCTGTGAGTGTGAAAGATAGGCGTCATTTTCGCATTTAGGAATGATCCATTGTCTTCTCTGTAACATTTTTCTTGAATTTCTTCTCCCTGGACTTTTTAAAAAATTACTCTCCACTCACCTGCATTTTTTTCTTAAAGCGGGAATATTCTGTTTCTAAACTTTATAGGCTAATTCAAAATTTGAAAGTGCAGCCTCCAAAATGGCAAACCCAGAACTCCTCAAGGTGAAGTTGCCCTGCCACCTAATGTGTATAGATCTTTTTCGTGAGTAATTATTACTTTGTGGTCTTGCACACAGTCAACATTCAGGACTGCACTTTGTTTTTATACAGCAGAATTCCACGTGATCTGTCCTAAGCTCTTTGATCCCATTTCTCCAGCCTCCAGGAGTGGGTGATTATTTTATCCAAGTCTTCAGTGGCGTTCAACCAGCCTCATAGGCTGAAAAATAGAAACACTGTGGTTAAAGTTTCAAGTGCACATTGAGAAAATGAGGCCTCTGTCAAGCCACAAATGTCAGGTTGGTTGAGGTAGAGCTTACCCACAAAGAGTTTGTCGATGCTTTGTTCTGTGAAACAACTAATGCAGTCACCCAGTCAATGTAGAAAGCCCACATTCTCCAAATGCCATCCAGTCTTCAGACCAATAGAGTTATGAAAGAACAGAGTCCATCCCTTGTCATGTTTAAACCATCTGACCAAGGTGACTATCTAATTGCTTTAAAAAAAGAAAAGTTGGGGGAAGAATCATCTCAAAAGGAGCAATTGCACAACCTTTCGGAATACTTTGAATACTTAACAGTCCTTTCTCGCTTCAGAATTCTGTCCCACATCTACCAATCTGAAATTCCTCTAGCTTGCAGCTTCAATATATAGTCAAGAAACAGTGGTTTTTCTGAGCTAAAGTCTTCTAGACAACAGGAGGACTTTTGAAAACAGTTTTCAACGATGAAATTTTGTGACAGCCGACTGCCTCCAGGCCAGTTGAGGGAGAAATATATGGAAAAAAGATTTGGACTTAGCCTAAGACATTGAGCTGACCAGCCATGTGGCTAGTCACCAAGCTTGTCCCACACTACAGCTAATAATTCTCATTCACTTACTAATTTTTTTAAGCTTACTGAAAATGAAAGGGTTATCAATGTATTGGCAATTCTTAATATCTTTGTAAGACAGCTTTCTGTCACTGCTTTTTTAAGCTTGGCTTCACCTCGTCTGATGCAGTAACTCCTCTTCCTTCAACAGACATGTATCTCCCACCACACCTGAAATTATGTATTTCATTTCATAACCTTATTTTTGCTTCTCAAGTTCCTTGCTTTGTTTTCTTTGTCCTTTTTAGATGCAGACCTGTACATCATTCTTCTCAGTGATGCCAAACCGAATAATAAGAGCTGGGTATTCTGTCCTTAGCTCCCTGACTAGTTCAGCATTGCACTGGTACAGCTTGCAGTCCACAGTGGCCCCGAGGCCTCTGGCTGCGGTGCCCACTCATACCCCTGTGCTGTATGTATTAGGTGCCCTGATGCTTGTTAAATAGCAAGTTTCAGAGGAAATGTTTTCTTTACTGCAGTGACTTGGATGTTTCCCTCTGCCGACTTATCATTCCTGCTTCCCTTGTTTGTTTCCCTCAGTCCTTTAGAATTAGTGTCTCCTGAATCCCTCCTAAATTGTAGAGCCCAGTATTGAATAGAGTTGGCTAGTGCTGAACACAAAAGGGGGAGTCCTCCTTAGTCATTATCCTCCACACTATCTCTCACCCAAAAGCTTATTAGTTATTTGTACAAGTAATCACAGGAAACGTGATCAGATCCCCTCCCCTTGGTGCTAGGCCAACAACATTCAGCCTTTTGCACAGATTTCTCCACGGCCATTGACAGGAGACTAATTGCTGCTCTGCCCCTTCTGGAAATGTCCTTAGCAGCCTGTGTAAAATCCGACCCTCCATGGCAAACCTGAATAGGAGATGATGCCTGGCATTTCCTTCAGCAGCACAGAGCAGGCTGGGAGATGTTTTCCATAGGAGGTGGCGGTCTCCAGGATGAGGCAGAAACTCAGAGCAGTTTTCTAGGTCCCTCTTGGCTACAGCACTTGGGACTTTGGCTCTAACATTCCGGCTCCTCCAATCTGTGTGATTCCTCCTTCCATGAAGTCAGCAAGCAGGTGCAGTTCCTGTGGTATAAAGTGGACAGTTTCAAACTGTTCAGTGGGCTCTCAGTTACCTCACTGCCTCTTCTCATTGTATATGAAGTGCCCATGTGTGTTCTCTTCAATATTCGTATCCTGGGATGATCAAACAAATCAGAGGCTGGTCATTTTTAGGAAAGGGGACATGCCCTATAGTTTCTATTAAAAAATAAAGCTAGTGATCTTTTCGTGTAGAATCCAGGAAAACCCAAACGAATTCTTAGTGGTTTTAGTTTTGCCATATTCAGCTAAACTCACTTGTTATACACTGCAAAAAGTAACGGATATTCATCCCTTCCTAACATTTCTACTGCTGTTCTTTTTTTGTTCCATATTATTGGTTCATTACCTGCTTGCACAATTCCCATGGAGACAGTTAATTTGCCACAGGTAAAATTGAAGTGCACCAGGTTACAGTAACATGAAATCTCCAGCGTAATGAAACAGTCTGACCAACACAGTGCCCCTTAAAAAGTATGAAGCTGACAACTCATTTTAGCTGATTTGTAATGAAAGACTTTTCAGAGATTTTTCAGAGATTCTTTGGTTGGGCGGGGGGGGGAGGGGCAGTTGGAGAAGGTATGTGGGTGCAAGTCATTCCAGATGATTTGAGCCCACAGGGTTGGCCAACTGTGATGAGCTCCACCCTCAGCTGGGCCCAGGAGTGGGGCTGCAAAAGGAGGAGGAGATCCATTTAGAGTGGAAGGTCTGAAGGGGCTAGTGCAGTAGTTTCTAACTCCAGGAAATTGAGACTTTTTGGGGAGTTTGTTAAAATTCAGATTTCTGGGGCAAGATGTGCTATGGGTCAAAGAATCTTCATTCACATCAACACTTGTAGGTACCCACAGTCTACACTGGAGAAAATCTTCTCTAATGCCTTTACCTGCTTCATCTTGACATTATGAAGTTAGATTTTCATGAGCTCATAGAATAATTCAACTTCAAGCAGTTGTTCTCAATTGGTATGCACACTTGGGGGAGATTTTGCCAAAATATACAACCCAGCCACCACCCAGCTCTGTTAAGTTAAAATATCTGGGATTAGGGCCCAAGAATGTGTTTCTTTTAAAGCTCCCAGGTGACCCTAATGTGCTTATTGAATTAGAGGCCGAGTGTGCTGAAGTCCTCACCATAATGTCACGCTGGCAGCTGTATACATTAGAGAAGGAAGCTCTCCCAAGGAATGGCTAACTTTTTTTTTTTTTTTGCTGTTGCCTTCATTCTCATATCTAATCAATTGTTAAGTTTGGCTTTCCTGATTTTAAGCTATCTGTGAACAAAAGTGTGCTGGCTTCTTACTCCTGGGAGCTGATGTTAGCCATCATGTTCACAGATAAAACTAATAATCAGTACCCATGTTCTTCTTTAAGCAATTATCATTGTAAGAAAAGAGAAGACAATTTGTAGATTTATTTCTTTCAACAAAAATAAAGCTACATTCAGTTTTAAATACAGCATGAGTAAAATCTTTATATATAAATATTCTTAACCCTTTTTAAAAGGGTGACAAATTGATCATTTATTTCAGTTTCTTTCATGTGATATTGAGTGACTCCAATGGCAAGAAACTGCTCTAAGAATAGAGAATATAGCTGTCAACAAAAAAAATTTCAGCCCTCATGGTCTTAATTTTTTTTTAAAGATTTATTTATTTTTGCATAGAAGAACTGGGTTATAGGCCAGACACGTGGTAGGTGAGAGGTTTCACAGAGTGGGGAGCAGAACAGCTAGATCTACTGAAATACACTGCTGAGGGGAGCAGCGGGTAAGACAGTCTGTACACCATATGTGGGTTAGCTCCCTGGCCAGGGATCGAAATCAGCGCAGGGTTTCCATTTATACAAGAAAAGAAGTTAAATATATAGTATGCTACATAGTGTTAAAGAGAAACACTTCGTTCAACAGTTATTTTACTGGGAGGCTACTATTTCCTGATTCTGTTAGATATATAAAGGTAAATCCCTGCCTTCAAAGAACTCAGTATCTAGTACACAAACTTACTGCCTGCTCTCAGAAATCATGGTCATAACTAAATTCATACAGGAAGGAAGAAGCCCCCAAGCTGTATATACTGTATGTGCTGCTCCCTCCTTGGAGTTTCTAAGCCTTACAACTTTTCCTTTTATGGAATATTTGCTTTATGGATAAAACCAGCATAGCTGTTTTTGTAAAACATGGATGATTTTTAAATTAACAGGCTATGCCATTTACTTTCTCTTCTCATGGCTAATTACTTCTATTTTGACCAAGCATGTCATCTTCTAAAGCCCCAGGGTTTTGAATACTGAAGTTACCAACAGGCATCTTGGCTTGTTGCTGAGAAATGTAAAGTATGGGCAATTCAAATGTGCCTCTGGTACAGTGGTTTTCACGTTTTAGCAGAGACTGTGAGTCAGGGACCACAATATCACCTGAGCACACATCAGAAGTACATGCTCTCCCGTCCCCAGGCGATGTATTAAATCAGTCTCTGAGGGTGGGCTCTGCAATCTGTATGTCATATGCTTCCTTGTGAGAACCAGTTCCAGTCATTCAACCACACTAGCATTTGCTTGTGGATACTAGTCACGGCAGGTAAAACAAGCACATGATTGCTCAGGATAAGTGATGTGTACCTTCAGCCCTATTGCACAGACACTAGCCAGGGCTAAGGCTTGAGAATCTCCTCATCTGTGCTATAAATGTGTATGATGGAGGTATAGTCTGATGAAAAAATCTGCAAGCCAAATATTCAATCTCTTCTCTAAGTGACTAACAAAAGGCACAGGCCTACATGTTGTTCTGAAGTATTCCAAAAGCTGCATTCTGGAGCCATTTCTGGAGATTCTTTGGCTGTGAGCTGTCCAGTCACTATGTGATGCCGTCACGCCGGGTGTCTGGTGTCCCCTGTGGCACATCCACCTCTGTCCCTGGGTGTCTTCCCTCTTCTTTGTGTCTTTTGGTTCACCTTCCTACTTCCAGCCTTCTCCTTAACATACACCTGTTATTACTTTGTTCTTATTAACTTCATGTACTGCTTGCATGGAAGAGTTTTGCATTCCCTTTTTCTTAGTTTTAATAGCAAATTGGATATTTGTTGTCAAAAGGTAAAAATTAAATGAGATTTCATTGCCTTTCAATTTAAGCTGCCCTTCTCTAGCTGGAAAAATCTTTGGGAGAAAAATATTATTAAAGGGATTAGAGATTAACTAGTCCTTTTTTTAATGATTTTTTGGTAAGGTGTAGGCACAGTTCTTCCTCCTTAGTCATAAAGACAAGGTCCTCTTAGGAGGACCCAATTAGTGTGGAAAATCCTCCAGATCACCATTGCTTTGTGTCCTCTTCCTAACACCTTGCCCTGCTCTCTCCTGTCTGTTGCAGAGCCTCGTGGAGAGAGAGGTCCTTCCCCTTTCAGGTCACCTACTTGATTTCTGTGGGTGTGTTTAATTGAAGTATAACATTCACACAGTGAAAGGCACAAGTCACTATTATATACTGGGATGAGTTTTCCTAAAGTGAACAGTCACTGCCGGGATCAGGAATTGGCGCACCACCCACATCTAGACCCTCCTTCTTACCTCTACCCTCCCACCTCCTCACCAAGGCGAACACAGTCCTGCATCCTAGAGCCAGCACTCATCTTGCCAACTTATGTCTGTATGTGTAAATGGAACCATACTATCTGTATTATTGTGTTTGGTGCCATTAAGTCATAACTATGTTGGTAAGATTCACCCGTGTGTTGATTTTCATTGCTGTAGTATGTGTGCATTGTGGGAACACACCACAACTCATCTATCCTTTCTAGAATTGAAGGACATTAGGAATGTTTTGAATTTGGGCATTTTATGGATTCTTGTACATGTCCTTTGTCACACATGTGGGATTGCTATATCATAGGATATACCTACATTCGACTTGAGCAAAGACTGGAAAGTAAGTTGCCAAAGTGGTAATTAGTAACACTCCCACCAGCAGTGTGTGAGTTCTTACTGCTTCACAGCCTTTCTAGCACTTGGTACTGTCTTTTCAATTTTAACCATTCTGGTGAATGTGGCATTGCAGTCTTCTGTGTTGACCACTAATGTTTATTGGTCTTTTAAGTATCCTCTTTTGTGAAATTCCTTTTCAGATCTTGGCCCATTTTTCTATTGGGTTGTTTATCTTGTTGAGTTTAGGAATTATATATTTTGGATAGAAACCCACTATGGATATGTTTTATGTATAGTCTCCTACTCTTCTGTCTTTCGATGAGTAGAAATTTTAGTGGGGTTCAGTCCTTTGCTATCATAAATGAATTCATATTATAGTCCAGAATCCTTAGATATACATATAAATATGCAATCCAGCTGGAATTGATTGTTTGAGATGGGGATCAAGAGTCATTTTCATATATATATATATAACCTCAGGAGACTATTAGGGTTTGTCTTTTGCTTAGATTTTTTACAAATTTTCATATTTTTTTAAATTGTAGAATACTTCTCGGTTTATAGGAAAATTACAGAGGTCATACAGAGAATTCCCATATACCCTTTACACAGTTTTCCCCTTATCATTATCTTACATCCCTATAGTACATTTGTCCTAGCTAAAGAATACAATATGGATGTATTGCTATTGACTCAAGTCACACTTGACTGAGATCAGGGTCATTAGTTTTTGACAAATGGAAGTGCTGTTGAGGAATAATACTTTAAGACCATGTCCCATTAGGTAGACATCCCATTACAAAGTCCACCATAGCAAGACTCCACTGTCTTTAGTCTCCGTCTAAGCTGGTGAATTCAGCAGCTCAAATATCATGAATATAGATCCTGTGAGATCAGTGGGCAGGAAATATGGAAATCGTACAGTCCAAGGCCCTTCAGATTAGAAGCCAACTTTAGTTTTTATTCTTCATTTTGAAGATTCTGCTTTTGGTTTGAAAAGTGTAATTGAAGTTTAAAACACAGTGCTGAACAGCTTTTTATTTTAATTTTTAGTCACCACAGTGTATATCACATCCCCAGTTACATCTTATAACTAAAAGTTTGTTCCTTTGGATCACATTCCCCCCATTTGTTATGCACCTTCCCCCACCTCTGGCAACTACTAGTCTGTTCTGTTTTTGTTTATGTTTGTTTAATACCAGGTTGTCTAGGTACCACATGTAAAGTGAGATTGTACAATGTATGTCTTTCTCTGAGTTCTTTTACTTAGCAATATGTCCTCAAGGTCCATCCATGTCATCACAGATGGCAGAAGAGTATTCCACAACGTGTGTGTGTGTGTGTGTGTGTGTGTGTGTGTGTTCCCTGTATTTTCTTCATCCATTCATCCATGAGAACATCAAGTTGCTTTCATCTCTTGGCTGTGGTAACACTGCACGGTGTGGGTACAGAGTCTTTTCGCAATAATAATATTTCCTTCAGATAAATATACAGAAGTGAAATTGTTGAATCATACCTATTTTAATTTTTTTGACACTATACCAATATACATTCCTACTACCAAGGCATAAGGGTTCCCTTTTCTCCACATCCTCATCCATACTAGTTATCCCTTGTGTCTTTGATAATGCCAATTCCAACAGGTGTGAGGTGATAGCTCATTGTGGTTTTGATTTGTGTTTCCCTGATTAATGAGCTGAGAACGTTTTCATGGCCTATTTCTTTTTCAGGGTTGCGGGGGGTGGTCTTTTTAGACCTTCTGCTCATGTCATAATCAGATTTTGTTTCCCCTATTGAGTTGTGTATCTATTTTGGATATTAACCCTTTATTAGATATATAATTTGCAAATATTGTCCCCCATTCCATAGGTTGTCTTCTCATTTGTTGAGAGTTCCCTTTGCTTGTACAGCAGCCTTTTGATACAGTCCCAGTCACTTATTTGTGCTTTTGTTGACAAATCCAAAATATCATCACCAAGACCTATGTCAAGAAACTTAAACCTATGTTTTCCTGAGGGAGTGTTATTGTTTCAGGTCTCACATTCAAGTCTTTAATACATTTTGAGTTTTTTATATAAGTGTCATTCTGATGAATAGCCAGTAGAAAAGTCAATAATAATGCCAGACACCATGGGGCAGGAGACCTGTGTGCCCCTGGGCCTTGGACTGAGTGTGTGGAGAGCTGTATGCCCCAGACTCTGCCTGCCTCAGTTTGGGCCTGGGAGCTTCGCCCCCACCTAGTCTGAGGAACGCAGTCTGTGGTGGAGACAGGCACACCTCCTACACCACTGACTCCCCCAACGCTTGTCTCTTCTGGACTTTACTGTAGTAAACCTCAGTGGTTCCAGCACACTGCAGTATCCCTGACAGTCTTAACTATTTTTACTTTTTAACAAAGTGCAGCCTAAGCCCCAGTGGCCATCTGTCACTTCTGACAGCAGACATTTAAATTAGAGAGAGAGAGCAAGGAAGGCCAACCAGTCATCCCCATTAATATTTTATGAAATATTCATTGTTCTTTAACCTGGCCGTAACCTCTATCCCAGACACCACTTTTATAGCTGATGCTTTGACCCCAGGATGCACTCTTGAGTTGTGCCTTCTTTGTCCTTCTCAGCACCATGAGCTCCCGACACTCTGCCAGCCCCGTGGTCTTCACGAGCACCCGCAGCTCACCTAAAGAAGAGCTCCCCGCTGCCTCGCAGCTCGCGCCCTCCTTCTCCTCCGCATCCTCCTCTGGCCCTAGGACTTTCTACCCCCGCCAGGGTGCCACTAGCAAGTACCTGATTGGATGGAAAAAACCTGAAGGAACCATAAACTCTGTGGGATTTATGGACACAAGAAAGTAAGACTTCTTTAGCTTCTCTTGCTGAGTGGTTTGCTTTCAGTATGACAGAGAACCGAAATGGTGGGGGAAGCTTCCTCCAACAGGGGAGGCTGGGCTTGGGGGCTTGGCAGGGGTTGATTGGTAGAGAGGTCCTTTTTTTCCCCTAAGTAAAACTTCAATTATTTCTCTACTTCCTTCCTTAAATAAGATGTATTGCAAAATATTTGAATTCAAGAATATTAGTTCTCCTAGGAAAGAGTATGTCTGAAGAAAAGACTTCAGAATGATGCCCCCCTTTGATGGCATTAATCACAGCCTTCCTGTGTCATGCCTAACTGGGCCAGGAGGCACCAGAAGGGATATTAGAAAGTAAATGACTATCTCTGAATATAAAGAACTTTTTGTCAAAGTAGTGCAGCAAAAAATATACATGATTCATTCAATTATTTTGTTTTTGTTTGTACAAAGGTTGCATTTGGGATTCATACCCCGTGGTCTTTTATTAATAAGTCTGTTGCTAATTTTGGCTCAGAAGAGCTAAGAGTTTCCTGTAAAAGAGTAATTTATTCATCAGACTTTTCATTCTGTGTTTCTTTAACAAGCATTTATCTAAGTGGATTCTAATATCAGTGAACAGAATTAATCCCCCTCTTCTCTCTTTATTTCCCCATTGACTGACATCCTTCAGGGCCCAATGTGCCCTTGATTCAACCTTGTCAGCTTAATGTCTACTATCTTCCCCCTTTCTTTCCAGGCGTCATCAGAGCGATGGCAATGAAATAGCCCACACCAGGCTGCGTGCCTCAACCAGGGACCTCCGGGCATCCCCTAAGCCAGCCTCCAAATCCACCATTGAGGAGGATCTCAAGAAACTCATTGACTTGGAAAGCCCAACTTCTGAATCCCAGAAGAACTTTAAGGTACCGGGCAGAGCTTGGGGTAAAGAGCAATTAGATAAGGCCAGACAGCACAGGCTGCTCACTGCAGTTTCTTCCCTCAAGAAGTGTTGGTTCCCAGAGCCTCTTCACTCAACCCCACTTCCTGCTGTTATCTAATCCTCCCAATAATTAGTTCACACTATTTTCCAAATACTCTGTCCCTGCATTCACACCTCCTTAATCTGGGTTTATGTTAATCTGTCCCTACTCCCGCAGCTTTGCCTTCTTTCAGTGTGCCATGCCCACAGTGCACAAACTCTACTCTGTTCTGAACATTATTATGCAGCTGACATTGCTCCTTAGAACTCTGCAGACACACTTAGTTCCCTTATCAGGCAGTTTTCTATACAGACATTAGTGCCTTCGCCCTAACTGTACCCCTCCCACCCAGAGCCTCCAGTTCACTTCCAGTCATGTGTACCCATTGTGCCCTGCACTCTGACCTCGCCCCGAACCCAGCCAGACAGACCTACTGGCCATCCATTTCATGTTCTTCAGCCACTCAGAGGAACTGCCTGGTCGACACTCACCCCCCAAGGGCCACCCCTGAAGTCTATACCCTTACCTTCAAAACTTGGCAGAAACCACACTTCATAAGAATTGTATAAGTGCCTTTTCTAAAACCCAGCCTCTGGCCCCACAAATGTCGAGCACCTGCTCAGGGTTTGTGGGTTGGTGATCAGACCTTGCAGGGCCTCTTCCCTCCACTTGGAGGACTCTGCAGCCTGCTTCAGGCTCTCCCTTGTCTCCAAGTGTGTAGCCCCAGGGCTCAGAGCTGGTGTTTGCTGGACTGGACCCAAAGGTATTTCTCCTGGGCATCAGGCCTTCTGTCTGTGGTGTAGCGGGCAGCCCCAGGAAGAGGGAATCCACTCCCAGGAAGTTTGTGGCAGATTGGACGTTTCCTGTTTTCTGAGCTCTTAAATGATTTGTAGTCTGCCTGACATGACTAAAATAAGACAAAGGAAACCTTTGAGACTTGCTTAAAAATGGACACTAGACTATTAACCAGTCCCCATCCTCAAACTGTACTCAGAGGAGAAGAGGCGTGGCATGCTGGCTGCAGGAGCTGCAGGGCCTTTACGTGCAAGCTCCACCTATTGTGTGCACCACATGCCCCGCCAGGTAGTTCAGATAAACCAACATTTACAGAAATGTAAGGTACCTAAAGACCATTCTAGAGTTTCTCTGAGAAATAAATGACTTACTAACATAAACATAATAAGTCATTTTTAAGACTTACCATTCTTGATTTCTCTAAATTGCTTTATAAGCCAGCACTGATCAGTTCTGACTCATCACCCAGAGTACAGATGGTTTCCTTAGCAACCTCACAAAAGATAGTACTTGAAACTTCTTTCTCCATCAAAACCCAAAGAGGTGTATAAAATGTTTAAGTACCAGTTTCAAAGTAAAAATTATTTCAGATTTTCCCTGTTAGGTTAGCGGAAAATAAAACTTGCCCTAAAAGGGATCTTTCCTCCATATCTTGGCTTAACATTTTTGGAAGGGGGCAACCTTAGAGCTTTTCATGCTTTTGATTTACTCATGCCATGGAAATAATCAAAAGCAAATGTCTGTTTTGCCCTTATTCCAGGTCTTGGCTTTTATTTCCAGAGCGAATTACTTTGGCATTCCTGTTCAGAACAGGGGTGTGCTCTGTTACCAGAGGCCTGTGCAGAAAGCACTCCTGCCGGCCAGGCTGCCTCTGGGAAAGGCTGGGAGCAGGAGCTGGAAATTCACTGTGATGAAACTCTCCAGTTTCATCCTTTTTGCTTTGGTTCCAAACGAGTTCAGCCATGTGGCTCTAGGCTCTTCAGAGAGTCACTGAGGGCTGATACACTGAATGGCTGCTGGGCGAGAAAAGCCAGCCTTCCCTGGAGCATCTTAGTGGTCACACCTGGCTGAGACATCTGAGCCACTGTGTCAGGCTCTGGGATACCAGGAGCAGCCACTGGCTTTGGGCTCTGACACTAGAAACCCATTCACCGTGTGGGCTTTCTTGGATAGCAAGTGGCACCTCTGAATGGTCGCAAGTACTGAAGGGCAGGGTCACTGCCAGGCGTGTTTGCCCACAGAGTGTCTGCTTTGAGCCATGGCCGTGCTCTGCTGGGCAGGCTGCAGCTGGGCAGCAGGCGACTTCAAGGCCCTCACAGCTGCTGTGGAGCTCCTGATCCAGGAAAAGTGTCAGAGCCGTAACATTTTAAGAAGCCACGTTGGCAGGCAGAGATGGGATAACCTCATGTTCCCTGAGGGCCACAGACAGCCTGGCAAGTGAGCAGAGGTCATGCAATCTGTAGCCCTCACCAGCAGCGCGCCATGTGCAGACCACAGAAGAGGCCACATGCAGCTGCAGCACTTAGGAAGAGCTGATCCATGCTCACTGCCAGTGCGGGGGAGCCAGGAGCCTGAGCTGAGCAAGGTCACCTCTAGGCCTTGTTCCTGGGCTTTGAAATAGAGGACCAGTGTAGATCATTGATGCCCAAATGATAACAAAACTCAGGAACCTTTTTCTAGAGTGAAACTAGACATGGAAACCCAGTATGTAGGGCGGAGAAAGCAGTTTCTCTGGGAGAGGCATGGATGTCATGGACTCCTGGGTCCCACCTGAACAACTCTGAGCAATGATGCTGTGAGGAACCCAGTTTTATTACAGGGCAGGGAGAGGGGCACCCCAGAACCCCCAAACCTGCCTGCTCTAAATAGGTTCTGCCATCTGCCACATCAAGACAAAACATATAGCCCTTTAATGGAAAGGAACTTTAATACAATTAGCGTGTAATATAGGCAAGACGAAGAATATAGTTTCCCAATCAAGCACCCACAGTTACCCATCCCCTCGTAGGTAAAAGTCCATCCAAACAGGATTGGCCCAAAGCAAGGCCTGAAAGCCTGCCACAAGTCTAAGGTACCTTCCAGCAGGGACCCATAGAACATGGTCAGAAACAGACAAGTCTGGGAGGAAAAGAGCACAATCAAAGTCAAGATAAAAGCTGCCATTGTTAACCTCCCCACGGGTCTCTCACCCACATCTATTTCACTCAGCTCAGGATCAAGAAGCAAGCGCAGTTTCTTCACATGTCTCTCTGCTCCACATGCCTCCTCCAGGTCTCCTCCTGGCACTCCATCCTGCTTCCTTCCTTCCTTTGTCTCCTCTCCAGCTTCTCCTCCCTGCTCAGCTCCACCCTCCCTTGGGTGGGGCAGGGAACCTGGAACCTCCCCTTTCTGGGCCCCACCCTATTACAATTTGAACCCCACCTGATGCTCTCAAGCCCCTTTGGGCTTGTCACCAGCTCCTCTGTGGCTCTTTCCCAGGGGCTGGCAGCACTGGGCAGTGGCACTCAGGAGTCTCAGGTGTAACCTGCTGGGAAATCAGAGGGAACTGGACAGGTGGGCACACCTTTAAGACTGGAAGTGAAGAGGGCCGGGGTGAGGGGCCATCCCCAACATGTTGGAACAAGACTGAATCCTCCTCCCTTTTGATGGGCAGGCAGCATCCAGGCAGACTGCTTCCTTCCATCCCCTGCCTCCCTATTGCAGGCTGCCAGAACTGCTGTGAAACAGCTGGCTCAATGGAGCTCTTCAAGATAGCTCTTTGCTTCTTAAGTACATTAATATTTCCCAAAGAGGCCAAAATTAGAGTTGGTGGAAAATTCATCTCCTGTAAAAACACCATTGTGGTGATACTCACTGAGGAAGGAAATCCCTTTGCCAAAAGCAAAGGCTGAGAGCAATTTTTGAATAGAGACCTGTGGTCTGGCCTAGGACCACAGATGGAGAAGAGAACGCTTAGCTTTTTTGTTTGTTTCTTAGAATGAGCAGGCCGGTTCCCTGCTCCAGTGTGTCCTCTCTGCTCTGTAACATGAGGAGGGAAGTGGTCTTTTCCAGACCAAGTTCCCTACACTAAAGACTCCCGAAGCCTTTGTCACAGCAGCTTAGTTTTCTAGGCAAGCACATACGTACCTTGGGAACTCATCATGAATTTTTAAAGTGAATAGGATTTTTACACGATTGGCTACATCTGGGGCTCATTTACGATGCATTTGATTAATAACTTTTCCACATTTACGCAGCAGCTGTGCACACCTCATTGTGGGGAGCCAATTGATGAACCCTTGGCCTGTTGAACAAAAACGTGATAGACCCCCAGAGCCCATGAATGAACTTGAGGGTCAGTTCTGTATTCCTAACCTCCAAATGGAGCCATTGCTATGTCATTGCCTCTCTGCCCCTTTGTGACACGGGAGTCCCCCAGCAGCGACTCAGGCCTCCTACCCACATGCTCACCTGTTCTCACCTCGTTCTCCCTGCCAAGGTGAGCAGCAGTTAAGAGAACCCAAAGGAGGATAACTGTTAACATATCAAATGCTCTGTTTACTCTCAAGGTTCTGGACATTAAAATACTGTTAATATGTCTATTTCTCCATGCGTGGGATTCTCAGAAGCTTGCCTTTTGCAGAAAAATCTCAAGTAAAATCAGATGCAGCCAGAAAGGCAAAAGATAGCAATAAGACAGTAAGCTCCCTGGAATTTTTATTGTTTATATATCTTTATAAATATTTGTCACTTATAAAATGACTTCCCTGTATTTGTCTCATGAGTAGAAATTCATCACCAATAAATGGTCTCAAATCATTAAATTTAGCTGCATTGAGAGGTTCAGTTACTGCATAACTTAGTAGCTCATTGGTTACCAAGATCCCCCTACTATTTGAGTTAATAGATTGAGATGCTCGGTTGCTCTTGTTGCCTAGCAAACGTGGTCACTTGACAAGCTTCTGAGGACACTCCTGGCACTGTTGCTGGGCCCCTGCGTGATTTCTCATGCCATTGCACATGCGCCTGGCGGGTGCAGGGTTTCGGTTCCTCCTTGGCCAGTCTGAGGCCCACTAGACTAGTTCTCAGACCAGGAATTGGGTTCAGAGGAATTACATGATTTAGCAATGCTGAATTCAAACAGAACTCACACTAGTCTGGCCCTCCGGTCTTGTCCTGGACCACAACACATACTGGTGAACCCCTGTAATCATGTCTCTGACGTGCTCAGCCTTGACAGTCAAGGCCTGGAAGAACAATGACCAGGACCCCCACTTTAGCTCCGAAGGAAGTAAGTAGGCTAGTGGGCTCAGGGGTGCTAACTGGGCTCCAGGACTTGATGGGATGTGTCTAAGAGCAGGGACTTTGTTACACCCCCCACCCCCCGACTTGGGTGACAGGTGTCTGAACCAGAAACTGACTTTTGTTGTCCTGTTTTGCAGTTCCATGCACTCTCTTCTCCTCAGTCTCCTTTCCCTACCACCCCCACCTCAAGGCGGGCCCTGCACCGGACACTGTCAGACGAGAGTATTTACAGCGGCCAGAGGGAGCACTTCTTCACCTCAAGGGCTTCGCTCCTGGACCAAGCTCTCCCCAACGATGTCCTCTTCAGTAGCACGTACCCGTCTCTCCCCAAGTCTCTTCCGCTGCGGAGGCCTTCATATACCTTGGGGATGAAGTCGCTGCATGGTGAGTGTGTTTCCAGCGGCCATTAAACAGCCCTGCTGCTGATGACCAGTGTCCCCAGAAACTGCCGCCACCCAGTTGCTTAGAGAATGACTTGGTGCGTAGAGGGCCTCGTCCTGCCCATCCCCTTACCTGACCCCTCATCTGTGTTCCAGTCTGCCTGGTACAGACATTTCAGCCTCACCAGACCCAGGATGCTTGTAAAATTACAGATCCCCAGGGCTTGCCCAAGACTGGCTGGATTTGAATGTCCACAGTGAGTCTGGGAATTAGTTTTTGCCAAATATCCCATTTGCTGTTCTGACTGGACAAATGACGAACACTAGAGTAATTTTTTCTTAGACTTGTATCCACAGGCTCCCCCTAGCACCATCAGAACCCAGACTTTGCTCTTATCTGTCTGTCCCAGGTGGTGGGAACCGTGCCTGTGGTGTCAGCCCTCACATGTGGACTCACTCAGTCTCGTCCCATGAGCAAACACGTAATATGTTAGGGAAAGGCTCGCTGGGGACAGCACCTCCATTCCAGCCATAGGTTCCTAAATGCCTCCTTTCTTCTGTGACCTCACCAGATCCCAGTTGTATGAAGGCCCACATTCTGGGGCTGTGCATTTAAATGTGTTCTTTTCCTTTTTCCAACCTTTGTGTACCCCCACTCCGGGCCTCCTCGCTATGGCCTAGACCGTGACTTCTGTGGAGCTGTGCTCCTGCTTGTTGCACATGTGACTGTGGCCCCACATTCCTGCTGAGAATGTGGGGCCACATATCTCCCTGTCTACTCATAGGCACATTTCATATCTCCCTGTCTACTCATAGGCACATTCCTTTCCCTTTTGCTTCTCTGGAACAGTATTTTCTTTGAATCACTTGCTTGGCTAGTTTGTTTTCTTCCTGCATCATTCTTGAGCTCTCAGCCCATTCTGATGAATGTTCCTGCACTGTCTCCATCCTGCTCATGGCCCCCTGCAGTCCCTTCCCCTTCCATGGCAGCCATCACTCAGGCATCATGCCTGCTTCCTCCCCACCTCTGATTGCAGATGGAACTGGCTTCTCTCTGGTCTAAGAGGTCACCCCAATGACCTTGTAGACAGGCCCGGTGAAAGGTCTCTGCATGTGCCATGCCAAAGTAGACCCTGCCTTCTAGAAGCTTACATTGAAGAGGGCACCCCAGACATCCTACTCTCACACATCCATTGTCCAGTGAGGAAGCCAGGGGTTGAAGGCAGCAGAGCCGACATAACTGTGGGAAGGGTAGGGAGGCCAGGCTGCCCTCTCTGAGTGCCCTCTAGCACTTTCTTGCTTCCTGAGCTGAGCTGCTCTTGTTGGGCTAAGCCCTGAGCCCTGGTCGCTATTGGTATGAATACCACTGCAGTGTGATTAGGAAAAGGGAAATGACAACTTCTTTTTTTCCCCCATATGGAAATTTGGGCCCCTGATATAAAAGGGCAGAGGGCTGTGAGTGACACACAAAATTGTCTGTTCCCCCTACTTAGCCTTGGTGGGAGCAAGTTTAAATAGAACCGAACATTTAATATCTGGCAGTTTTTGTTGATTGCCATTTACTCATAATTTTGCTAATTTTCAGCACATTAATAACTAGCAGCTGCACTTCAGAGCAGTCCTTTATGTAATTTGAAAGGGAAAACAAGCACTAAATATACTCTGGTTTACCAGGCTAGCATAATTGATGAAATGTTTTAACTCCTTGTAAACAGGTATTTCTGGAGTGACTGATAAGATCTTAACGGATAGCTTCACCTTTAGCCTTGTCTTGGCAGGGATTTTACTGTTACAGTCACATTCCGAGGGTGTCCTTTCTCTGCCCTAGTTTTCACCCCGTCTACTGCCCTGTTGATGGCATTTACTTTTCCTGAGCTACAGCTTCCTGGCCCCTCCAGCCCTTCCTTTCTGGCCTCCACATGCATGAACAGTGTGGCATGGCCTCAAGTGGCACAGAGTGGCCTCCTGCTCCCTACCCAGGCTGCACAAGGGTTAGTTGTTAGGATGATTTAATATTTGAATCTGAAATATTGTGAGCGTAGCAGGGACTCCGGATGTTGGACTGCTGTAATCCAAAACCAATCCTTGGAGTTCCTTACTGTGTCCTTGGGAAGGAGAATAGTGCCAGCACCAGCTGTAAAGTCACCTTCCTCTGGTAACTGTGCGGGTATCCAAGGACCGTCATGTGATCTGACCTGGTTCTGCCACCACCACAGGCACTGCCAACCAAGGAACCAGTGGGCCATCTCTGGGACCTCGAGCAGATGGCACTGGGGCTGCGGCTGTCCCTCGTCGCTCCCAGGGACACTGGAAGTCCTCAGAGAGGGCAGGTCGGATCCCAGGTCCTAGTCCAGACAGAAACAAGCCTTATTGTCCCCTGATATAGTTATCAGTAGGCTTCCCTGGTCAGACTCCAAAACACTTTTCTGGTGAAAAGCATCTTCGTCCCAGCCTGGGGCCCTCAGCTCTAGGACGGGCAGGGAGCCCTGGAGCTGCCCCAGGTCCCACTGTAGACAGACAGCTCCCACAAAAGCACATTCCCCCTGTGTACCACTAACTCTTCCATGACACACATTACAGGTCATTAAAAAGAAAAAGATTTCAAATTGGTGGAATCCATTTCCTAGCTCAGCTTTAGAATAGCCACCAGTGGCCTGCTAGCAGCCTATTCCTGGTAACGACTGACTTGCAGATCTCCTGGACACCAGGAATTAGCTTTTCCCTCATCCCTTCCTTTAGGAGAGTTCTCCGCCTCGGACAGCTCCCTCACCGACATCCAGGACACGCGAAGGCCCATGCCTGACCCCGGGCTGATGCCCTTGCCTGATGCTGCTGCGGATTTGGATTGGTCCAACTTGGTGGATGCTGCCAAGGCCTATGAGGGTGAGTCTACTTGAAGACCCAGGTAGAGCAGGTGACTACTCCCCCGGTCATTTCCATTCCCTCTGCTGGTCTGGACACTGTGCAGCACCCGTGCTTCCCTGGCATGGCCAGGAACCAGTAAGAGTCATTGAGCACGGGGTAGGGATGTCTGTGGTGAGCGTCAGTCACAGGGAGCCTGGCGTTCCTCTGTGCAGGAACTCCCTGGATATGGGAAGGGCAGGGCTGGGGAACCCAGCTGCCACATGACTGAAAGGAAGATGCAGCAAGTCTTTCATCATATCATGAAGGTGTCATCGCCAAACACATTGTCTGTATGCTGGTACGCTGGTCCTGCTGGACCCAGCCCCGTCCTGACAAAAATTCAGTGCTCCCTTTGCCCTCATATTTCATCTGGCCCGTGTGGCCGGCACACTTTCTGCCTGCGCTGCTCCTCTGCCAGCTCAGGCCAGTGGGTCGTGAGTTTTTTCCTGTAATTTTTAGATACTGTTGGTGTATTTTGTTTTACTAAGATCTTCTAGGTACTTAACCATTTCACGGTTAAAATACAGTAATCACTTTCCATAAGATAAAAATGGGACAAGGATTCATCATTATGAGAAATATGCTCATAAGTTCATATTTTACAAAATTAAACAAGGAGATAAGCCGGAACCAGTCTCGGAAAGTATAGCGCCTAGACCATTAACAGAAAATGATTAGGAAAACTAAGTTCTCCTTTTCCTGTACCTTGGGAGATTTAATTTTATTTTCAGTAAGCCATAATATTAAGGCAAAATTTGACTTTGCAAAACCACAAGCAAATAAGTTAATAATCTGCCTTATTCTCTGTACCTTTGATAATTAAGAGAAAATATTTATGGGGAGGTTTTTAAAAATGCACAACTAGTGCATAAAGGAGAGAGCAAGTGAAAATCAAAGTGTTTCAGGGGAGTGAGAGGTATAATAGAGGCAAGTCATCCATTGTACGTTTATGGCCAGGATGGGTTGAGAGAAGCAAGTTAAGGTTGACTTTCCCTCACTGGATCTGTACCCATGAATGGCTGAGAATGCGCACTGGCCACGAACAATGTCGCCGTGTGCCCACGTGGCCTCCGTGTCTGTTGCTACATCTCACATGTAGCTGTGGGCACGACTAAATTCCCATCAATGTCATTCTGAAAATGTTCACATGTCGTCTGCTGTTTTAACTCATTACTATTTCCTAAATAGCCAGAATTTGCTGTGCCACATCAAACACATTAAGAAACAGGATCCCTGAATCTTTCACAGGCCAGCTCTCCAGCTGTGGGGAACTGGCAAGGGGGCGAGGCCTGTGCTGCAGAAGTATGAGAACACAGAAGGCCGTAAATGCCCTTTCTTGACCAGCTGACCTTATTCCAAGGTTGTCATTCCAAATTTTTTGATCCCAAAGTGTTCTCTACCAAATGAGGAGACTAGCAGATGATTGGTTTGGGAGTTCTTTTGTTTTTATTGTTCTTACTTGAAGAATTAAATGTAGCTATGCAGTCCAGCTCCATTATTCAGGGGGAGCTGAGCAGACCACAGAATGCAGAGTGGCCAGCAAGGAGTCCACATTCAGCAGACTGCAACTTCCTCAGAACTAACTAGATTTTAGATTTCAATTTTTTGGTCACTGCCCTTCATAGATGATGGTAATCATTCATTTTAAGTTGGTATATTTTGAAACACAGGGGGCGTGGACTTCATTTAAAGTCCACCAAGGTGGCCAAGCATCCCGAGGAAATGTACTTCAAGAAGCTGAACGCTGGCTCTTTGGTGTATTTTCTACCAAGTGGAAGGCCTTGGTCTAGAAGTTTGGCACAAGGCCCGTTTCCAGGGAAACATTTAAGAGTGCTACTTTGATGTGCAAGGGTAAAGGAGGACTAGAAACTGATGCACAGGAACTATTTTTAAAAGGGAGATTACAAATCTCCTGTCCTCACAGCTGAGACGGTAGTGGCTTCTCCCTGTGAGGGCCAGAGGCAAGGCCTGTGACGCATTCGTGCAGGTGACCCGGGTTGGCTGTCAGTGCAGTTATCTGCTGTTGCCTCTCAGTAGACAGGGGCCCAAGAAGTGGCCTGGTTCCAAAACACTGAATGGTTTCCTATCTACCTTCCAGTCCAGAGAGCCTCGTTCTTTGCTGCTAGTGATGAGAACCCTCGCCCCTTGAGTGCGGCATCCAACAGTGACCAGCTGGAGGACCAGGCTTTGGCCCAGATGAAGTCTTACAGCAGGTTGGTCACCCAGTGGCGAGGGCACCACTCTGTACCACGCGTCACCTCCACTAGTGACAGCAGATGTGGGGAAAAGGCGATGGAGGCCCTATGGATTAGCTGAATGAAGCTCATCACCGCAGTGCCAGACACTTCAGATCCTAGTTAGAACTCTGTAACTCAGTACTGTCAACAATTAAACTTCTTGATGACTTAAAGTCGTAATTACGAATATTCATTATTTTTAGTGCCATAATCTATGCCCTCAGGGCTTACTAGGTAAGGAAAATCATTTTTTTACAGGAAGAATCCCCGGGTTCCTGTGCAGTCAGTCCTTGATCTGGTTTTTGAGTCCTTCCCCAGCCATTAGTTGGTTATGTTTGTAAAAAGTACCTGGGTCTTAGCTGCTTCAGATCTCTGCTGGAGAACTGGGTCACCAGGATAGTTAGGATTATATGTAAAATAAAAAGTAAATAAGCAATAATTGGGGCCCAGAGGATTTTTTTATGCGTTAAGAGCACAGACTTTGACTTGTGTTTAGCTGTGCAGAGACTGACTTTTCAGATAATGAGGTTCTTGGATAAATGTGCAGTCCTGCATGTGAGAGCATCCAGCGGTCAGCTTGGAGTGCAGAGCACTCCTGGATACAGAATTTCAAGAATTTGAAACCTCTTCCCTTAAAACCTTTTGAGGGTGATTAGAATCCAGGTGTCTGTAAAACTTGGTCAGAAACAGTAATTAGGAAAAGGGAGGTTGGTATAGATTGTGCAACTATTCTGTGGGCTCACACATGTGGCCTTCACTCAGCGGAGAACTTGAGTGGTGGGTCATTTGTTACAAAAATAACAGGCGAGGCAGGACAGCAGCAGCTACCTGGAGGGGCAGGGAAGAGAGCCCTCAATGTACTTTCTTAGAATGGGGCCTCCAACAAAGAAAAAAGTCTGAGTGAGCAAAGAATGGTTTCCTGAAAAGGGATTTGAAAACAGTTCCTAAATCTCTGTAGACTCATAAGGCTCTTAGTTCAGGGGAGATTAGCAACTGCAAATGAAATTAAATGTTTTTTAAAAATCATCGGTGCACACACAGACAATTCATTCTGAAAACCTTCAGGCATCGAGATAGGCTAGTGAGAGCTGCTTCCATCCCGACCAGCTGCTTCAGCCCTTCGAGGGCTGGGACTCTGGGCTGGGGCCTGTGGAGGACTCCTACCCGCAGCCTGGGTGTCTGTTCGGCACCCCCTATTCAACCACATCGTTGGCCTTTGACCCCTCCAGATCGGCCCAGATTGTACCTTATCATCATGAGGTTGTAGACTACCACTGCCCATTTCCCTTTTAAAATCCATCCACTGTCAGCTTTTACAGCCTTGTGACACTCCATCCCACTCTGGGGTTTGCCTTGTGGGCTTGTAGATGTAAAATTAGCAGGAGACATTGCACAAATCATTTTGCATCTTTGATTTTTAAAGTAAAGACTGAAAATTCAGAGTCACTTCCTCTCCCCCTTTGACTTGTGGAAAGAGGAGTGACATGCCACCCCAGTGGAAGCCTCGAGATTCTCCGCTGTGTGATCCTGTAGTTGCTGCTGGCCAGCACGCACTGGGAAATGTTCTGCAGGTGAAGACAGTGGAGGAAGGAGAATGTCCAGGGTCTTCATTCCTAAGGCCCTGGAGGTAGGCGCTTGCCTGCCGTGCCATCTGTCCTGCCAGTGGGGTAGCCTTCTTGTCCTCTAGTTCGCCCTCCCTTGCTAGTCCACTACCAGAGCAATATATTTAAAATGAGAGCAAATAAGAAAATGGGCCGAATAATTTGCTAACACAGCAATAAAATAACAGAGAACTTAAGTCATTAAACTGAAAAGCTTTTGAGACATGCAATGTTTAAAATATTTTAAGCTATGTAGACTAGCTTTTAAAACATGAACCTGATGACTTAGACTGCCACTGGATATGTATACACAGACTCTTTTATGGGCAACTGGAGACCTGCCTAATCTCAACTCTTCCCCATCCTACATGCACACGCGAGAGACGCTCTCCTCCTCACAAAGTCCACCAGAGATAGGACTCATGATGCTGCTGGACAATTCTGTCTGCCAAAGAAGCGCCAGTTGTGCTGCCAGAGACCATTTTCACTTATTGTCCTATATTCTTTTGTGTGAAGATGCAGCATCTTCAACAAAAGAAGCTATTGATTGGCTGTAGCTCAAGCTTATTATTGCCTTTTGTTAAGATTACCATTTTTTTTTAAGTGAAAATGCACATTGGGTGGCCAGACTAATTTGCCATTGAAAACCACTTTATAAATACAGCCACTTCATTTAAAAAAAAAAAAAAAAAATGCCAAATCCAGCCATGGAGGCTCCTGCCAACATGGTCTTTTGTTTCTTATTCCCAGCAGTAAAGATTCCTCTCCCACTCTGGCTTCTAAAGTGGACCAACTGGAAGGTATGCTGAAGATGCTTCGGGAAGATTTGAAGAAGGTAAACGCGTGTCCTCAAGACAAATTGCCCAGTTTGTGCAAACTGTCCTTGAATTGTGTGAACCCTTTTTAAGCAGTGTCAGTACAGTAAGAGGTGGATGCTTTCCCTGTTCTTGGGACACACACCTTTAGGAGGCTGCTTGGAGCTCACTTCCCACTGACCACATGGTACAAGAAGGCCCTCACTGCCAAACACGGAGCCCCTTTTGTGACAGCCTTTAAAGCTTGGCCACCCTCCCCCAGCCTCCCCACCCTCGTCTAGTCCAGACTCACCTGTCACCATGATGCTTGCACATTAAAAGGTCTGAATCTTGGTTGTTTTCTTAAAGTGGCTTTGACTGTTTGAAACAGCAGCCACCAAAACAGTAGTCTAAAATTGCAGATATCCTTATTAACAAAGACATTAAAATGCACAGCAAAATATTTACATTCCCACATAAACCTGTAGTGAACCTCTGGAAGCGCTGGGCTCTGGGTCAGCCCCCAGTCAGCTAGAGTAGCTCACACCTGACACCAGGCCATGCACACCGCGGTGCAGTAGAATGAAGAATGGAAATGGGCCAAGGGTCAAACAGATCGCTACTTCTAGCTGTGGGCTGAGGCGGCCCCCCTTAGTTCTTTTCTGCTCTGCTCTACCTCCCAGGAAAAGGAAGACAAAGCCCACCTTCAGGCCGAAGTTCAGCACCTGAGGGAGGACAACCTGAGGCTGCAGGAAGAGTCCCAGAATGCCTCTGACAAGCTGAAGAAGTTCACGGAATGGGTCTTCAATACCATAGACATGAGTTAGGGGAGGCTAGGTGGACAGGAGGAGGGTGCCCTCCCGTGCGTGTCTGGAAGCCCCTAGCCATGCCATTGAAAGCATTCTCCAAGTGCCCTCCCTGCACCCTACTTTGCCCCCCTTCAGGGAGTGCACAACACAATTGCAGATCAACAATCATTATCTGCCTTTTGTAGAAAAGAAAAACAAAAAAAAGTAAATAAAAATTTTAAAAAGTAAAATAAAAGTTTAACTGCTAAAATGTGAATGTCTTTATTTTTTGCACAATTATCTTTATCTGTTATGTATTTAAAAAGAAACTGGGCCTGGGCCCAGGGTCCCCCACCACCCCCCAGGCCCATCTGCCACTCTTTCTTATCTATTTCAGGTAACCCAAGCTTTCCCTCCTCATCCCAACAAATGTCATTGTTCCTAGGAATATAAAGTTTTTTAAATTGTTTCTTTGGGGACGGGGAGGGGTGCTTCCTTATTACCCCATTCCTAAATGCCTGGAGAGGGAGGTGCCCTTAGAAAATGCCCACCTCCCTTGAATGAGTTGTGCATGAGCTAGCGCTGTTTGTATCCATCTTATAGATAAGATCTGCAGGACTGGGATTAACAATAGCAAGTGAGGGACCAGGAGCGAGGCAGAGACCGTGCCTGTGGCCACGCTCCATCTGTCCTTCCTTCCCCAGGGAGAAGGACCCAGGTGCTCCTCAGCGCTAAAGCCCTTTCTTAATCTCGTAAGGCCCACTAACTTGAAATCAGCCTGTCCACATTCATTGGTATCATAATTCCTCTAACTCAAATCTTACTTGGATACATTTTGGTCAAAAGGATAGTTAAAAATGTGACAACATTGGGTTTGTTAGCTGCTCAAAATTGGCACTTATAGACAAATCAGTCCTTTTCTCCAAAGCAAGACTTCGCCAGTATTGTAACTAAAAGTGAATGTCGAATTGTGAATTTTAATACTTGCTTAGGAGCAATGACTGTGACTAGAATGGGCTTTTGATCCTGCATGTCCCAGTGTGCACTTGACGCACTGCATTTTCTGCATCTTTGTGTGGCCATCCATAGGTGCCGACTGCAGAAATGACTCGTGCTCTGTTGTCCTGTCTGGAGATGTTGCCTCCTGGAACACCTGGGCCCTTGTTCCAAGGCCCTCAGTCCTGCAGAGCACAGAGACACTGGCCCACTGGTGTTGAGAGCACCAAGGGGAGCCCCTGGTGGCCTTGTTTCTTGCCTTCATAATTGTCTCTAACCTGACCCCTAAGACCCTTCTGTGGTGACTCCGGTCTAAGGGAACATCCAGCAGCCTAATGACATCTGCTCAGAAGCTCCCTGTCCCAAGTCATCTCAACTCATTCCTCTCTCCATCCCTGAAAGAAATGGGGGTGGATTTTCCTCTCTCCTCCCCTTCTGTTGCCTCCACCACCAAACTTTTATGCTACAATTTCATTCATGATTGTGATTTCTCCATGGGATTTTTCTTTTTCTTTTTCTTTTTTTTTCTGGTGACATTCCTATCATGGAAATAGGAAGATTTCAGAGTGCTTTGTAAAGTCTCCCTGGTCTGGCTCTTCTCTCTGACTGGTATGAAGGAGATTGTACATTGCCGGATGCCTCTTTGTAAATGAGAACTATCGCTAACATCCAAGCATTCTGAAGTCTTGCTTATCCGAGTTTAGTTTCTATTTTGTTTTACTTTTGTTGGGGACTTGGGGCAAGCTATTTATTAGAGTTTTGCAACAGAGTTCTTGTTTGAAGCCTTTAAAGACTACTTGTAAAATTCAAACAATAAAATTCATTTTAAATGCTCTTTTAAAATGATTTTGTGTTATTGCTTGACGTTTTCTTTTTTGAAGGACCACCTTCCTTCTATCTTTCCTTTTTCATCAGGCCCCACTGGTACTAAAGATGATTCATGAACGTCTCTGCCCCTTTTAGAATTTTAATAAGCTTTTTCACTCTGTCCACATGTCCATAGAGAATTCCTATGCTTCTCTGCTTATGATTTAATATTCTCAGAGTCCTTTATAATTAGTTCCCCCTTCATTATCCATGTGTGGATTTTCCATAACATTTTCATTCCCCGAGACCAGCACATTTTTGGACTGCCTCTACTGCATCTCTCAACGTTACATGTTGTGTGCTTGGGGAATACAAATGCCTGTTAATACTAGGCTGTGCAAAATATAATTAGAAAAGTTAATCTACTGAAAAAAATCATAATGCATTCCAAAACCAAACAGATCCAAATTTTTTGTATCTGCCACGTCACTGTTCTTCTCCAGTGGTGCAGCTAATTGAGAGCTGACAGTAGAGTTTCTTTCCCTTATTTGATTCAACATTTCTACAAATCTAGAATCACAAGACAGGATAACACTGTATGCCACAAGATACTCTGATTAACAAGGTGTGTTTCGGCCATGACTCTTACCTGGTTTGGAGACTTTACATAATTTCTGAAGCAAGTACTTGGCACATGGGTTGGAAGGTGCTTGGAGAAGATCCCACTGGCCTTGCTTGATGGAAGGTCTTCATCACAGAAGCTGACTAGAGGGGCTAAGGGACTGCACTCCAGATCTGCTGCAGGTGATGAAATGGACTGGGTTGGATTACTTTTTTCCCATTGAAATAACACTGATTATAAGTTTTGGGTACATCAGAAACCAACATCTGCATATATATACTATAAATTCACTAAAAGTCCAGTTCTATCCTTTAGCATACACTTGACCCCTTTTACTTGATTTACCTGTCCTCCTCCCCCCTTTTGGTGACCACTAATTTGGTCTTACAGTGTACAATTTTGCTTTTTTTTTTTCTCTCTGTAAAACATGAGTAAAATTAAACAGTGCTCGTGATTCTCTTTTATTTTAGAGACAAAAATGATAGCCGAAGAGCAAAGGAAGTAGGGCCAGCAAGCTTAAGCCTTTGCCTCTTGTTAACTATAATGATGACTTGAACACATTCCAATATCATAGTACAACATTCCAGCAACTGTCTGGTGCTCCTTCCCCAGAATGAATGAAATTGAGATGGCAGTACAGGATGGCAGGCACACCTTGGGCAAAAAACACGTAGCCAATAATGACTTGGGCATTGTTATACATGAATTGTGTGATCGTAAAAGAATGATACCACAGTAATGTGGGCTATCTTTTCCCTATATGAGTTAATGCCACTGATAGCCTATTTATAAGGAATCATCGTACTCTGATGGAAAGGGCATTTGCCTTAGACTAGGACTCAAAACCTGTCTAATGTAGAGCACCTGTGTCTTTAAGTAAATAACTTGATCTCATTGAGTCTGGTTTCTTCAACTGGTAAAATAGTTTCATATATTGTTTTAAGAATTAAATGCAGTACATATCGAAACACCAACAATGCCTTTTTTAAGGAAATAGAACAATTATCACATTTATATGGACCCCAAATAGCCAAAACAATCAAGATAAAAGAAGAAAACTGGGAGCATCACACTTCCTGACTCCAAAAATATTATACAACAATAGTAATCAGAACAGTATGGAACTTGAACAAAAAACAAAAACTCAGACCAATGGAACAGAACTGAAAGCCCAGAGAGAAGTTCATATAAATATGGACAGCAGATTTTCTATAAAGGAATTAAGGCCATACTAGGGAGAAAAGACATGACTTGTTAATAAGTGGTGCTGGGAAACAGGGATAACCACATCCAAAAAAACAAAGACCGACCCATATTTAACACAATGAATATTCACTCAAAATGGATCATAGATTTGGACATAAGAACCAAAAACAAAGTCTTGAAGGAAAATATAGGGACACGCTACAAAACATTCACCACAAAAAAGGAAACAGCCCCAACAGCAAGAGGTTAAAAAAAATAAACAAGCGGGACTATAGCAAACTTAAAAGCTTTTGTACCTCAAGAGAAACCATCCAAGAACAAAAAGGAAATCTACAGAATTTTAAAAAAATAATTGCATGCCATACATCTGACAAGGGCTTAATCTCCAAAATTTACAAAGTACTTACACAGTCCAACAATAAAGAAACAAAAGACCCAATTAAAAAATGAGCAAAGGACCTCAATAGACACTTCTCTGAAGAAGACATTCAGATGGCCTACAGACATGAAAAAATGTTCAACATCATTTATAGGAGAAATGAAAATTAAAATCACACTGAAATACTACCTCACCCCTGTGAGAATGACCCACAAGAAAAAGAGCAGTATTAACAAATGTTAGTGAGGTTGTGGTTAAAAAAAAAAGGGACTGTTATCTACTGTTGGTGGGAATGCAAACTGGTACATTCCCTGTGGAAAAATGGTATGGAGGTGTCTCAAGAAAATTAAAATGGGGCCTCCCCTGGTGGCGCAGCGGTTGAGCACTGGGTTGCAAAGCTGCCCACAGCCTCTGCAGCACCAGTTCGATCCCCGGCTGCTCCCCGGCCACCGGAGGAGGGTCCCACATGGCGTGCAGACCTCTCCTGCCGCCCGCTGCTCCCCTCAGCAGTGTACTTCAGTCCTTCTGCCTGCTCTGCTCCCCGCTCTGGCTCTGGTGAATTCTCTCACCCTCCCGCGCTTCTGACTGTACCCAGTGCTTGTAGAAATAAATAAATAAATCTTTAAAAAAAAAAAAAGAAAGAAAATTAAAATGGAAATCCCATCTGACCCAGCAATGTTGCTATTAGGTATGTATCCTAATAACATGAAAAATCTAGGACGAAAAGATCTTTCTACACTTATGTAAATGGTAGCATTGTTTACAATTGCCAAATCATGGAACCAACCCATGTCCTTCAACAGATATATGGATGGAGAAACTGGCACATATATTCAATGGAATATTACACAGCTGTGAAGAAAGTTGAAATGGTGGCATTTGGGACAACTTGAGGTAATTATGTTGAGTGAAAGATCAAAAAGTGAAAGATTTCAGATAATTTCACTCATCTGCAGAATATAAATACTCTTAAAACAATTACATGCAAAGAATAGAAATAAAAATTTGAATTCACCAAGAAAGAAGATAATGATTACCAGATGGAATAGGGAAAAGGGGGTGAGGGTTGGAGAGTGAGGCAGATGTGGTATGAGCACTAGTGTTCTCGTGAAGGCTAAAAAAGAATTAAATGGGACCATAATTGTAAAACCAGTGACTAGCAAATTATGGACACTCAATAAGCACATCTGCCTTTGGCCTTTGTTTCTAATATGTTAATACTTTATTGTATTCCTAGGACAGATTATCAGTGTATTAATGG